CTACTTCCTCAATTCTTAAATAAGTCAATTTACCAATACCTTACAAAATGGGACACTGAACAAATACATTTTTATCAGTGCTCAAGTTCTGTTTCGTTTAGTGTCCCTGCAAGAAGAAATATTTACTTTCCATTCGATGGTGACAATTTCTTCCAAAGCCTATTTCAAGTTGTTACCAACACTCCTTGCAGCAAAAATTAGTTAGGTTTAATTTAATCACATTGCCACCTGCTGCCTTTTTTCTGCTGTGAACACATTTTCCTCTAAGTGCAAGTGACTAGCCTGTTAAAGGACAGTTCTGTATCTGTCACTTCTTGATCAGCAGCTAGAAAACATTTTTGGTACAAGGTGCAAAAAGAGTGATCTTTTTCACCAACTTGTTTGAATTTCTTCCTTGTGTTGGAGTAATTTAAACTCAAGAAAACGTAGAAGAAGATTCTTTGGAGTTCTTTCTAGCGTCAGATACTGGATCTTCTTGTCACCATATTGGGACACATGTCTTTCTCCTTACTCACATAATACAGAAAGGACTTTGAAGTGCCCAGTATTTTGCTTGCGTTTGCAGTGACATCATCTTGAACAACACAGCTTGTGTGTTTGCTATCCCAGCAACAGTCAGATTCCTCGGCATTTTAAATCCAGATTTTCTGTGCAGCTCTTAATGAAACACAGACGGTTTCTCAATTCCCATCTAAAGCATCTGGAGTCACGGAAATACCATCAGCTCAGTCTGCTATTGACATTTCTTGCAAACTGAGTGTTCTTGAATTATCAGAAGGGTTCCCAGGGTGCTTTTGGTGAAAGGTTGATTTCTTTTACTTTGGGGATAAGAACAACTGCGAGATAAAAATTCTGCATCAGTTACTATTTGTGTTTAAGGCAATATCTATGATGTTTAACATACTGGATTATGATCTTCTTTCCAAATTCTGAGTTCACTTTTACAGTACTAATTAGTAGTATTAACCATGATTGCCACTGACCAGTTATGTATTATTTAATGTCATAGAACTTTACCATGTGATACTGTGGGGCTTGTAACCAAACTATAATTTCTCTACTATATGTAGTGTATCATGATACAGATAGCAGTGGTATTGCTGTAAGTCATACTCTTTTTTATTTGCTAATTACTTTGGCATTACCAAAGTGTATTTCCATGGCCATTGGCATTTAAGACATTGTCCTGGTCAGTTACAATGTTGGGGGCAGAGAGTGACAAGTGCAGGAAATTCTCTTTGTGGATTTACCTTCTATAAATATTGTTCATGTTCGGTTGTGGTTTTAAAACAGCTTAATGGTTGTTCAAGTTGTAAATCCTGAAGTTGCATAGAATATTCAAACATATTTCTCATTGAGGAGAACTCTCCAGCTATGACAAAAATCCTTTCAGGGAGATGAAAGATAGCACAGGGAGCATTGCAAACCCATGTTCAGGGTGAGGGGCTTTTTTAAGCAGCTTGAGACTTGATAGTCTAGCTACATCTAGGGAAAAAAAACCCCTTTTATCTGGGGAAATAAAGGTTTGTCAGCTTTCCTCATGTGTCCTAAGTGATGCAGTCAATTTCTTTCATATTTTCTTCCTCTATAGGACAAATTTAATGCTGAACACAGGAATTCTCCTTTTTTTTTCTCTTGGTATACTCTGAACCTTGTCTTCTACTGCAGATCTCTACAGATATTTGTAAATATTCTATAGTATCCCCCTGTATATTAACAAGTAGGTACTTCCTTTTATATTTGCCATCATAAGAGCTATGATGAACACTTCTTTAAACCAGTGGTAGGCAAGGAGAATATATTCAGAACATGTATTTGTGAAGCTCTTATTATTTCCATTTTTCAGCAATAAAATTAAGATGGAGAGGACAGTAAGTAGCCCTGTGCCGCAGAGAAGTGTGTAGTCAGATGAAAAGGGATACATTTCTGAAACTCCTTCAATCCACCCCCTGTCAATTTACCCTACAAATTTTTGATGCATTTTTGAAAGATAATATTTGCTAAGACTGGAGGAGTCTAACAGAATTTTCGGAACAAGAACTCCTTGTTTGAAATGTTCTCTTTGTTGGTCCATCAGATTTGTGCTCTTCTAATTTTTCTGTACTGTGTTCTTGCAAGTGTGGTGACAGTGCCCAAACTTTGATTCCATTTTCTGAGATAAACTGTTTGACTGTCTGTTTGTGTTAGGAATCTGTTCTATGCTTTTATGAGAAACTTTTTTCCTTTTCAATAATACATTCTTAGACAAGAGAAGGGATTTTTTATTGTGATCTTTGCATTTACTGTCATTATTTCCATATCTGTTCACTAATTACTGTGTAGTAACTTCTTTTAACTTATCCTTGTCTTCCAGTGTCTGTATGAAATTCTGTCTGTCCAAAGTGCTTCATAGTACTTCATACCTGTTCAGAATGAAAACTTGTAAATTAATCAAGCTATTCTATTAGAGATTCTGATGGATTTTGGTTAAGAAGGCACAAGTTGGTTTTCTTCTATCAGGGTGCCCAACTCTTCATGGAAATCCTTATTAAGTTCACCTTTATGCATTTTTCAGTGGAGAACCTATTGTTTCTCTTTTTTTTTTTTTTTTTTTTCCAGGCATATATTAGTTTAGACCAAAGTTCATTTTTAAGTGTGGTGAAGTATATAATAATCAGAGCTAGTTAATAGTTTTTCAGATAAAATATAAGGTGGGCAGTATCTTTGATGCAAACAAAACTTCTGACTATATATTCATTGACTAGTTTGAACTTTATGGTTGGAAAATATTTGATGCCTGAAAAAGGATTTTGGAATGTGTCATTTACTGCAGTTAAAAGGCAGCTCTGGAGCATCATGATTGCCACTATTGTGCAATAGGAACACTGTTTAGCTAGTGGCTGGTGGTTTTTGGTAATATCAAGTGACTATAAACTGATGTAGGGTTTATTTGGTAGAAAGAGCATACGTGAGAAACCACAATTGATTTATTTGGGTGTGATTGAAGTAATGCTTTCATATGCATTGACAGACTGCCATAACATCTCAAGATAGTTTCCATCTCTAATCTTAGTTCTTCCAAGACCAGTTTTGGAGCCCACATCTTTTCCTTTCCTGCAAACCACGAAGACAGTGATGGGTAAAGAGTAATCCTAATTTCTATCATGTCACAATACTTAAATAAGAAAAGCTGTATTTTAAAATTTAGTCCAAAGATTTCAGTTCTTTTACTGATAGTGGCAATGCCTAACATTTCAGCAAGATCATCAGTCATTTATGTAAATGATGAGATACTTAATTATTAGGCTTCTCAGTTACTCTTCCTAATTTTCTGCTCTATAGGCTTAGTTCACTAAAAGATTATCTGTCTGTATACTACACTAACTCAACTAAGCCCTCCTGATTTTGAAGTGGAATAACCTTGTAATGAATGCAAATAGTTATGTAAAACTATTGAGTTTTACATAACTATTTGCTGAGTGTAATATGGGCTTTAATCACACAGTTCTGTACTGATGCGTCTTTAAAAAAAGAAGTTTGTCACTATTTCTGAAGAAAGTTTTCTGGTTTAATCTTAGTTACTCAGAGACCAAAGCCGAAATCTTCTTCTCCTTACCTTGCAAGCCAAGGAACAGTAGAGGGTAAAAAGATATTTTAATTTTTTTTCTTTTTTCTTGATGTCGTTTGACATAATTTTCATTTGCTTTGAGCAATATCTGTGGTTTGTTAATGCAGTGTAAAACACTTGCCATACTAATGACATGGTTATGATGTTTGAACATGGTTTTTTCCATTACTTGTTTTGAAGGGACCAGTGACAAAAAGAATTTGTCACAGAATTTCTCTGTGACTCTATATGCAGTTGTTATTTTGAAAATTCTTTCTAGAATGAAATATTCCAATATGGCGGAAACATCATTTTGTGTCTTCTTACTAATGTGGATTTGTTAGCATACAGTACTTTTTTCTTATCTTTTTGAATGAGGACTAAAGTTCAGGCTTGATGTATGGGCATGTTAATCAATGGCTTTTAGACTAACTGTAAGGAAGAAGGGGAATTATATTTCACAGGGAATTGCAACACCTTTCATGTGAATGGTGAGAGCTTATATATTCTATGTAAAAAGAGTAATAGTGAAAACAGTAAGAAAATACTTGCATAAATTATTGAAATTATAAGAAAGGTTGGAGTTATGACTGAATATTGATAGCACAATGTGCGGTTTATTTCTTCATGCTAGAAAAATTAGTAATTAGCATTTGCAGCTGCTTGCATTGGGGACATACCCAGCACTTGTCATCCTGAATTTTGAATTCTAACATAAGTCTTGGCTCCTGCTCTCTCTGCATTTCCTGCTGGTTTTGGATCTTCCAAGGATTTGTAAGGAGTGGTTTGGTGAATTGGATATTTTGGCATTTTTCTGCTGATGTAGAGCCATTTAGCCACTGAGGCTCGACATGCCTTTCCAATGCCAGCAGCTGGAACCGGGAATGCTCTGCTCTGCTGCTGCTTTTTGAGGCCATGTTAGGGTTTTAGGATCAAAACCTCATTTCAGTTTTTGGTGAATCATAGGATGTTTCTTCACAGTTAGAGACACCAGCTGCCTGTGGCAGTAATATTTCTTGCAGCTCTGGTGGCGATGCAAGGTGGGAATTGTCCCAAGAGGTACTGTTGTGCTTTTAGCCAGCCTGCTCCTCCTCTTGGGCCTAGATTTTGGTAAAGTTTAATCATAGAGATAAAAGGGGCCGTACGTGCAAAACCACATTTAATTCTGGCTTTGGCTATGGCAATTCCACTTCTCTTGTAATGTGATCTCTTCTTCATATTTCTTCTAGCAGCTTCCTCATCATTTTCATCATCAGTGCATTTTCACACATTTATATTAGGAAATCCATGGCATGTTCATTTGAGATATTTTCCTTTCTCAAATCCCTAGTTTCTTAGTCACGTCTTGAAACCTGTTCAGTCTATATGTTCAGATGATGCCAAAAAATGTTTTGTTTTGGTTTTCTTTTTCCAGCTTCACTGGACTCTAATCACATTAGCTTCCTGTCCCAAACTTCTGCATCTGCAGAAATATCAAAAACAGAGACTGGTAAATTGTATTTATGGTACTTCCACTGCTTAGTGTTTGGTTTTGCATCAAGAATGTTACAGTTACAGGCTGTTTGCTCTGATTGCTTGGTGTCTGAAGAATTTTGTTTGCAGTGTCTGATAAACTCTATAATTACATGGTGATATTTTGTGGTCTGGGATCAGATGCAAATGAAATCACAGGAATTAATATTTTTTGTATGGTTTTAAGCTGTTGAATAGATTAGGACCAATAGGACCAATAGCTAGATGGGTTCATTATCAGTTATAAAGATATGCTCCTGACTGGGACATTTCACCATGGGGGATTTTCTGTCAGCCATATCATACACATTATTTTGCAGTTTTCTCTATTCATAAGACTTTTCTTCAGGTTATGTTGCTATTGCACCTTGAAACTTTTATTGCTGAGGTCACAGGTATTCAAGAACGTATTTGTATTTATTACAAAGGTAGGAATGTGCAAGAGATAAGAAGGAAAATTATCCTAAACCTGGCAGTCAATATTTCAACAGTTTTGTGTTAGGTTTTCTGCCTCAGTCTGTCTCTTCTATCTGTCACGGAAGTTTTGTTAATTTTTAGTATGTCAATTAGGTAAAATACCACAAATGACAAATTGCATGATGTGTAGTACGTTAAAACCCATTAGTCAAAATACTGGCTTTTTTTATATTGAAACACATAAAGCTTTGACAATAGAAATACCTGGTTGTACAAATTCATATTTGCATGCATTTAAAGTATATAGGTCTCTTTCTATGGGTACAGGTGAAGTCAAAAGCACAGCTTTTTTCATGTTACATGGGTACAGATCAGTTCATTTCTGTTGATAAATCTGATTTAGGGGGACTGCATTTCCTGTCAGGGTGTGTCTATTAGGTGTATGTGACATCTGCAAGACTTCGAAGTTTTGTTACTTTCTTTTTAAGTTGGAAATTTATGAAACTCTGTTGTAGTGGTGTTGGCATCTTGTGAAGCAATGTAAAGCAATCTCTCTTTTTCTGATTTTTGCCTCCTTTGCTATGTCTGCATCAATATGCATCTGTCTCAGGGATATTTACATTTTTTCACAGTTACAAGTTCAGCTGACCTGGAAAAACCTATGCCTCCACTTTCCAGAACACCTCATGTGCTAACAACCACTGCGGGTAATAGTAATGCATTAGCTTTTCAGTTAAACCCCTTTTGATGTCTGGACAGACATTTCTGAAATGTTGTTAATCCTAGATATTTTCATCATCTTTCATGTTGTCTTCTGTGTGAGTCATCATCATTGAAAGCATCCTTTTTCACATGACAACTTGCGCTTTCTGCTGAGAAACTCACCTGGTAGTGTTTCTGATCTTACATTCATTTTTCAAAAAGCTTCTAGGGCTATTTTGAGACATACTTACATGAAGTAAACCTGGTTTAATACTACTAAACTAGGTTTAATACGACTACTGGCTAAATCTTAATAAGAATTCTTAAATTACTTGTTGCTTTCTTATATGCTTAATTGTTATATGCTCAATTAGAATGCACGTTTTTATACCAAATATTGTCTTGCCGGCATAGGAAGCTCCTTTCTAACTTTTTTTTTTTTTTTTTTTTTTTTTTTTTTGCAATTTTTTTTTTTTTTTTTTTTTAGCAATTTTTTAGCTTTACTCTTTTTTTATGTGTGTATAACAGATTACATGACACAAAAATTCACTAAAAAATATTGACACAAAACAAAGCACTGAAGAGAACTAAGACAGGTGTCTTTCTTCATGGAAATAAATCTGCAGTGCTTTTTAGTTTTTATAGTTTTTGGGGTGGGGGGGATTGAGTACTTTATAATTGTGGTGTTAGAAGTTTTTATCTTTGTATTTTCTGAGTCGCTTTAAGCTGTGTGGACCATATGATGCAAAGCAATGTTAGCTTTGGTTGGCTGACAATTTAGTTTTAGTTCTCACTTTAAGCACTACCTTCAGCTTACACTCTAATCCAATACTGCTCCATTCCTGAAGTAAGGTCTTCTTATGGTGAAGTGCAAATTAGGTGTGCCATAACATATCACATTTTTTGATTGTTTTTCTATGAAAAAAGCTGTGTGTAGAATTAATAATCACAGCTAACATGACATGATTTTTTTTATAGTTTTCAGTGGTATTCAGCCTGTTCTTTCAAGTCCTGTGGCACCTAGTAAGCCTGAAATAGCAGAAGCTGGACCAGGTACAATAATCTCTACCTAGTTCTTAATTCAGCAGCTCAAACCATGCTCTAAAACTCAACTGAAATTAATATACTGTTGTTATTTTCAGTGGACATTTGGATTAGCCCCTAACAGCTGATTTCAAATTTATGTTGCTGCTAATGGTTGAACTTAGTGTTTTCTCACAGTAATAATGCATATGGCAACTCACAGTCACATAATTCAGTATGTTAAAAAATCGGCCACATAGAAAATTGAGAAAACAATATTTGAAGAAGAAAACTGAGAAAACAATATTTGTAGAGTAGTTCTGATGAAAACACTGTGATGTGAACTGTAAGTTGCATTTTATTGTTGTAGTATCGCTAAAAATGTTAACATCAGTGCATCAGTGCATCAGTAACAACAGTTACAGACGTTCACTGGTTTTGGACTGAAACCACAGCTGGATCTGTTGTCAGGTTTCTATTCCAAATTTTATATGTTTTAATGTGTGACTAATTGATTGTTCAGCATGTACATTGTACACGGTACCACCTCCCTTAAGTATTGGACCAAAACCAAAATGTTCAAAAGCTCTACTTAAAATCTTACTTGGCAGTGGTTGAGATCCAGACCAGTTGCAATGCAGGCAGGAGGAAATAAATATCCAGAATTTTTGCACATCACAGATGTGCTGATTTATAGTCACTGAAGCTCTGTGCGGTTCTGAATTTCTCCCTAATGCATACTAAACTGATAAATGCCCAAACATTAGTGAAATATTTGTTGTTCTTGTTAAAAAAAAATTATTTTTTCTCATGAAGGAAGAGTTTCTTCCATTAGCTCTTTACTCTCTTATGACTGTCATCATTTCTTCCAGCAGCAACAAGTGAATCCATTCTGGAATCTTTCACACCTAAAACTTCCCATCCTTTTCAGTGGCCAAGGGTAACATTAGGTAATGTTGTTTTCACCCAGTGAAAAACTCTGTGTTTGTTTTGAGCACTCCATCCCATATGAACGCATTCCTTCCACATATCATTTCACATGCATAATCATTCTTCTTCCTGGTTAGAGTCTTGGTCTTCTGCCATTGTTATACTGATTGCTCTTGACATACCTGTGTATGAGAACAAGCTCTGGGTGGATTTACTGTCTCAGAGAAATGCAACTTGTCTCTTGCATGATACAACACCATCATCCTTTTATTAGTCTTCTGTCTCTTTTACTCCCAATGCACACGCATGTGCTGATTGTCTCTGATATGTAAAGCCTTCAAAATGGAAATTTTATTTGTTCTGGGCTCACAGAATCTTATTTCTGATCAATGTACAGCATTTCAGTATCATCTCCATTCCACACTTCAAAATCCAATTTCATCAGCTGGCTTTGACATTCCATACTAAGTTGTCTTCAATATAAACATGTGACATGTGCTGTTTGTTGTGGGAAATGCTTGTTAAACAATTTTTCATTGCAAACTGAGCTCTTTCTTTCAGCTCCAAAAGAAATACCACTTATTCCTTCTAAACCGAAACCATCTGCTACCCCAGAAGTACAACATATGAAACCTGGTAATTGTGCACTTCATTTTCATAAGTTGGTATGCAGATAGATAAGTTCTCTAAAAATATCTAATGAAAACTTCCTAAAAAGGGCAGGAGCTATGCAATACGTGAACATCCTGACTAACTCTTCATTCTCAAATTGGTCATAATTGGTTTGATTACACTTGAAGTTTTCTTTTCTAGCCCCTAAACCACCACTTTTGGAGCCTAAAACTTCTGAGACTGTTGAACAACCAAAAGCAACCCTAGGTAATACACATTTCTGCAGTTGTTAGTCACTCTTCTTTGCAGTCCAAGCCACAGTTTGTACTCTGGTACTTTTTCTCATAGTTTTTGCTGTATTTAATCCATTCCTCTGAAAGAAGAAGTTAGGAGATAAGCATTCAGAAACATTTTTCTACACTTAGGAGAAAAAGAAACAATTTTTTTCACACAGTTTTGCTAGTTCCATGGTACAGTAAAAATTTTTTTCTTCCATTTTGCTGAGAGCTTTTCTATGCCAAGACTCTTTATTCAGAAAACTCATTGGAAACTGCCAAGTGTAAAGGTAGTATTGTGGATGTTAATCCCAGAACTCCCAGTGAAGGATACTTGTGGTACTAGGTTAACATGTTCATTCCACTGCTTTATGAATCCTTCTGAATGTCATTTTGGCTTAAAAACACCTCTCAGTCACTTCATGGCTCACTCCCCTTTGCTCTTTTTGTAGACATCAAACATTTTTGCACTGCGTCAATTGCTATGAAACATTTTTTTGGAAAGCAGTCTCATAGCACTGCTTTTTAAAAATGTACAGAGTTACTTACCTCTGCCTGAAACTGAGTTTACACTTTATCTGAAGTCAGGCAGATTAACTAATTACAGTTTCAACCCATGCATGTTTGGTGGGAAAAGGGTTTCTAGAACTCATTGTTCTTCATTTTTATCATTTACATGATACTGCTATTCTACTTATATTATTCAACTTATATTAACTACTTCTATTCCATTAGCAGAATTCAATGACTGCAGCTATGAAGCAGTTCAATTTTTTTTAATTGATTCCATATTCTTTCAGCTGTTTGCCAGTAATTTCTTTACTGTGCCAAAAAATGAGGACATTTCTGTATATTTTGTCTATATATGTCTTCCTATGGCTTAAAATTGAGCTGGAATTCAAAATTATAAAAAACATTATTATTTTACCTCTTAGGTATCTTGCAAAAATGAATTTGCTAACTTAATGAGAGGAACATTCAGATGTGATTGCAAGCTTCGACTGCATATTTAAATGCAATTACTCACTTTTACAATGAAGGACAAACAGGGATTTTGCTGGACTAGTGAATTCTGTGGAAGATTTTTGGGAAGACTTCTTGGCATATCTGATTCTACCATTTGCTTTTGTTCCCAGTAGCCATTCATTGCCTCATTTGATTTTTTTTTTTTGTGATACAGTGGAAAGCATAAATTTATAATCCAGTATATTTCTTTCAGCTCCTAAGGAAGCAAAACTCACTACTTCTGCATCTAAACCTAGACCATCTGCCAGACCCCAAAAGCCACGAACTAAACCCGGTAACTAATTTCCATAGCAAACATTTGTTATAGTGTACCACTGAAGTAGTGCATTTTAGCTTGAATTTCTTCTGTGCGGTTGTGAAGTTCAGCACTTAATCATCGGAAAGGTGAGGAATTTCTCTTTGAGGAATAATATTTTCGTATTGGATCCCCCCAAAATAGAAGCAAAGCAAAAAACCTTTTAACTTTTTTATCCCAAGTCACCAACACACACAGCTAGACATCAAAGCAAATTGTTTTCCTGCTTTTCATTTTGGAATAACAAGTTTTCCAACTTACTTCAGCATAGGGTCGAGAAAACACAAATTCTACTGTTTTGCTGATGGTTATAGCATCTTACATAGAACCATAGGATTTTATTGATTCAGTGATTATTAGAGCATATGTAGACTTACCTGAAACTGTGAAAGTAAAAATGGAATTTTGTTCTGGAATTCAGTAAAGAAATATTTTATGATCCCAAATGAAATAGCACCTTCACACCAATGTTAAATTTCACCTATGATGTATGGCAGAGAGTAAAATACACCTGGCATTTTCTGGACCTGAAGAATAAATAAATAGAGTTGTAAAAATATTTCCAGTGTTACATGGTTTATAATGAAATTAGAAAGCTTGAAATTGCATAATTGTTTATTGTAAGAATATATTACTCAATGCTGGCAGAGATCAGATGATTTTATTAAATTCTTTCCAGATTCCCTGCAAATTATTTTTTGCTTATAAAAAGAAATTAACTCTCTTCAGACCAAATTATTCCCTGTAAAGCTTGGAATGGCACTTAGGACTTGAAATTGTCAGAATACTGAGCATAATTAGTTTTTTATGTGGATTACAGCTCCTACATAATTTTAAGTGTAGAAAATCCAGTATTGTATTACAATACTGGAATCATTACTTTTGTCTCTGCTGTAGATGTCTGTGTCTGAATATAAATCTGAGTCCTGCCTATTGTTTTTTGAACAACATGCAGGACTCAGATTTATATTCAGCAACTCATGCACTACTCATGCATGAGTTGCTTTTTTTTCTCTGGCTGAGAAAAAAAAGCAACTCATTTGGAAGCTGTTGCATAGATTTGTTTTACATTCTGGGACTGCCAAGATCAAGAATTTATCCTGGTGTTTCCACAATAAGGGGCTCTATAGCCTCGTTTCTATATGCCTAAGAAGAAAGTGGCATTTTTAAATATTTGTACACACGCCTCTGGTTTTTTCTTTCCCTGTAGTGGTCTCATGAATCAATCAGGTAGAATGCTAAGACACACTTTTTAATCTTGATGAAGCTTGTCATGATTCTCTTGTAAGTAGGTAGTGAAACTGGCGTGTGTTCTGATGTGACAAATTATATTCCTGTTCAGAAAATATTATTTGAGCCGTAAAATATGCAGTGCATGGGGATAAGCTGGCTTTTGGGTAGGTGCCAAAATGGTAAAAGAGCAGGAGCCTGTCTGTGTTCCAGCATCACCTGGAAGTTCAGCTTAAATTAGAAACTTGTGTCATGATAGTGGTTGTCAGCCTTCCCTAAGAGTAAGTCAAAATAATGAACAATATACCAAATTCATATTTAATCAATTACTTACTGCCAAATAACTGCCTTTGGGTAAAGCAATTAATTTTGGCTGTCATTATTAATATGATTTTTGTGCTGTTTCTGGTAAAGTATTTGCCTTTTTTGGCAGTGGAGAAAAAAATCTTCATTTAAAAAACCCCAAATATTTAAATAATTTTTCAGATTCTCCCACTAACAAACTGTACATTCTAGTGAAAGTTTGCAACTTCATTCTCTTTCTTGGCATTTGGGTAACTGAATCTGTGGCCTACATTAAAAAAGTTGGGTTTTCTTGCCAATGTGATCATGCCAAACCACTGTCCTCACTTTTATTATTGTTAGCATGAATACCTCTCTCTAAACATACTCCATTTTTCAGGAAAGAAAATGATAATGAATTTTCTATTGTGCACACAAATACACTGCCACACTTTCTTTACAGAAAAGTTTTTAAATATCTCCAGGGATTGAGACTCCACAACTTCTCTGGGCATTTACTTCAATGCACAAATTATTTGTCCTGAAGATATTTTGGAGTATTTTGCCTTCTTAAAATAGAGGCAATATTATCAAATATAAATGTTGTCTAAGCTATAAAAAATGTCAGTAAAAAAAAGAGGGAAAATTTAGAAATCTGAAATAATTCAGTCTTTTAAAATCAAACACCACCCACAGAGGTAAACCACCATAAACCTTCATGTGGAGAAATAGAGACTTTTAAATAAAGAATGTGATTTTCTGTCTGAACTGACAGAATTTTGGAAGTGTTAGGTCTCAGATTTTATTGTATTTCAGAATTTTAAGGTAACTTCCTTTAAGTAAGTTTTCTTGTGAGTCTTAAAATGCTTGTGAATTACAACATGACAAATTGTTAGTATGTCCAAAAATACTGTTTGAGGCCCGTCATACAATATTTATCCATCACTTTTTCTTTCCAAATTAAAATCTGTTGGGAGGGACAGGGGCTAAGAGTCAAAAACAGAGTAAACAAAGCAAAATTTAAAGGGTGAGCACAAAGATCACTCAGTGATTGTAGATGTGTTTAGGAATGAAAATGGATTTTGTTTGTAAAGTCACACTGCTATCAAACAATTCTACCAATTTTGACTTCAGAGTTCTTTATATTTTTCAGGGTGTTTGGGGTTTGTTCCTTTCAAACCAAATTAAGTGCTCTAGATAGAGATGGGAAGCTTGTTAACATGATTATCTAATGTGCAGTAGCACTAGATAATCTTCTGGGATCTTCTGCCTTGCTTTCTGGGGCTTTACAGTTATTTACACCCAAAGCCGTTCATATCTATCCTTTATATCACTATGGGAGAAACCCAGGAAAATTAATAGAATGATTTACCAAAGAAAATGGAGTTCTCTGGAGCTATTTCTTTTCAGTGGTCTACAGCCCCTTAAAGAGATTTTAAAAATTCAGTAAAACAGGAAGGTGAAGCTTTAGAGAGTTCCTCACCCAGTGTGTTCCTGTAGCATAAATGCACTTTTCATTTTCCAAAAGCAGCAAAAGCCACATAGGGTAATTTCAGTAAATTTATCATTCACTCAGTGTTTCCGTTTGAGGAGTTTTGAAGAGGTGGATTTTAGTTGGGAAGCAAGAGCAGCTGAGCTGCACCAACAGTTAAAAACCAGACACATATACACCTGTATTTCTCTTAAGAAAATTCTCTTTATTCCAGCAGCAACCATTCCAGTGCCAGTCACTTCTAGGAGTCCCTACACATATGAACGTCCAAAGACTGCAGAGGGTAATGATTATGAGTCATCCTTAGTCATTCTTCTTTTCATTGGTCTCATATTATGTGTAGCTGAAAACAGCATTTCCTGGAGGCTTCTTGCTTATTCATGTGTGGTCCAAACCCAGCAAATGGAAGTATGATCTTGGTGCTTTATTATTTCTCCATGTTGCTAACATGGAGATGTCTTCTAAAAGACAGGATATCACTTCAAAGGTTTCACTTTCATTAGAAGAAGAAAGAATAAGAATTATTGAAATAGTAAAGATTTTATGGAATATAGAAATAACATAATGTGAAATGACATTTAAAACTACACATTGGTAAACAATTCCTGCAGAAGGAGTTTTGTGGCATATTGCTTGATATTTTCTCAAATGTATGGAAAATACTGCATTTTTTCAATTAATACATCTAAACTTGTACTCAATTTAGAGAAAAAAAAAACTAAGTGATTTTATTTTTAATGAGGAGCACAGTTTCTATAAAATAATGCATGGCCTTTTTTTAGTAGGGGAATATATGTGAAGTGATGTGTTTAATATATACACATTTTTTTTTATGCAGACAAAGCTCTCCTTTGCAGTAAGCCCTAAAATACTTTATCTAGTTGCAAGGAAAATTTGAAATACTGTTTGCATTTGCTGTGCAAGTTGTATTCTGCAGGTTGTATTGGGCTTCGGGGTGTTTTCAGCAGTCTAGCTTTGGTCTTTAAAACCTGGATGAAGCTGACTACATAAATGATACTTCACAAGACAAGGACATCTTTAAGCCTTACTTAAATGATTTGATAAAATAGGATCAGTTTGATTTGGTCAATTAGCAGTAACTCACTTAAACTCGTAGTTTTCAACTGCAACAAGTTCTACACCATGAAATACTCTCAAAACTCCCCTAATGACATTGATTTCTCAAGGTCAATGTTGCATAACAATCTTTTCTTAGCATTGCTTGTTAAGTCTTTTCTTTGGCTTTTTACTAAATTATGAGTAGTTAATTTTTGCTGCACAAGAACATCCAGCTGTGATTATCCATCAAATGGATAATCATTGCTTGTTTTGTTCATATCCAACAATATTTCATGCATTAAACATATAGTACAATTCCTTTTTCTGTGGTTATTAATTGATAGGGACAGAAGCTCATTTCCTAGACTTAATTTCTTTGTTGCTGAACCTGAATGTGATTTACTATGGGACTGTTCACTTTCAGCTTAAATGCATGTTTTCACAAAACAAACTTTTCCCAGTATCCAAAATACTCATTGCTCATATATGAAGCCCAAATGATCTGCTAAGATCAAAACACCTCAAGCTAAGTCTGACGAGGCACTTCTTTTGAAATTATGTACTTTGCAACTTGATATTAATACAGAAAGTAAAGAAGAGAACAACTTTTTTTTTTTTCCTCTAGGTGGGGAGAAGAGACATTCAATTGTTTTAGATAATACTTGTACAAAAGGAAACCATATTGCTCCAGAAGACAGTTTGCAGATCTAACAAATAATATACATATCTTTCTATTATTGAAAGCTGTTTTTCTCTTTGTAAGAAATTACTTCTTTTTCAAACGCAACCTGAAAATAGAAATTAGTGTTTTCTAGGGAAAGATTTTGAATTTGAATTCCAAAGGTAACTGATGAGCTTGAATAATGGCAAAGTCTTTGCAAACCAGGCATATGTAGCAAGAACATTTGAAAAATTAGTGGCTGGTGTGACATTTCTATGGAGTATCGGGCCACTGTCAGTAGAAGTTAATACTGGTTTTTTGGGGGTTTTTTCTTCATTTGCAGCAATATTAATACTGAATGTTGTACTGTGTATGTTAATAGGCATGTAATAAATACTTTAGTATTAGCCCCCTCAATTGCAATCAAAGTTTTATAGTGTTATTTACTGTGAAGCCCATTTCTTAAATGGGTAGATGCATAAGAGAGTTTGGGAGATAAGTGAATGTGGGTTATAGAACATGTTCTATCTTTAGGTGTATATATCTGTGTGTTATAAGCTACTTGACTTGTTACTGCCTTGAGATGAAAGAATTAATGCATTAAAATTCTTTTAATAGGTTTTCTTTATTGCCATGTAATTTTTATAGATTCTGCCATCTCATAATTTTTTGTCTCATTTGGTACAGTTTGTGGCCAGGAAAAGGGCATGCTATATTGGTTTTGTGATTCAAATTTTAAGTGGATATGAGAAAAAATGAAGAGGCTTTATCAAACTTACTTTTTTTCAGATGACTAATAAATACAGCTCTAGAAATAGCAGCTTTTTAGTCCTCTGCTTGATTACTCACTTTAGAGGAAAAATTCAACTATTTTGTCTCGGTCAGCACACTACTTTGAAATAACAGAGTTCAATTTCACCTTCTGTGCATCAAGAGTCCCTTGCTGTCTCTAAGTTAAACTCTGCAATTTCTTCTCTTGCTTGTTCTTGGATTTACTGATTTATATCAACATATTTTTGCTTCTATTGCCATCAAGATTGTCCAATTACTTATTTCTTATTTTACCTGTATTATTAAGAATTGTAATTGTCCATGATTTAAAAGTCAGCTTGAAGATCCATATTACTGTGGCGTTGTGTTAGTGCCTGCTTTTCTACTTACCACTGGAGTATTTAAATTTTTGGTGTGTGTTCCTCACTCACTTTGTCACACTGTTTCTGTTGCAGTCTTGGAACCTATTACACTTAGAACTGAACCACCAAGGTCACCCATAGGTAATAATATTTCCTTGGCGAGCTGTTGTGTTTACTTTATTTACATCACAGCAAACATCACTGAAGTTAGTCACCTTGTGCCTCAGGATTGTCTCATTTAACCTCATTTTTCTTCTAGGTAATTATCTTGCTTGACACTCAAAACAGTTGGGTGTATTGCTCTCTTCATAGCTGGAATGTCTCCTTTATAAAAAAAGAAATTATGCTGGCAGCTCTCAATCACCTTTCTCATAATTATGCTTATTTGCGCTTGTTTCGGTTTTTATTTTATAAACACAAACAAAAACTGAGCTTCAAAAATTACTAAAATTCCACTTTCTTGCTTAGATTGTTGTAAACACATGGAGAGTATTACCTGATTTCCCTACTTTTTCTCAGTTGCAGGTGTGAGGTTTCTGTGCTTGTGTGTTCGGCTGGTAACAGATGCTAACTGCTGTGCAATTTAATCAACTTACTGCCCACATTTTCTCTTCCAGCTCCAAAGGTGACTCAACGTGTTCCTTCCAAACCTAAAACTTCACCCAAACCTCACGTTCCACAAGCCAAAGATGGTAAACTATTTTGTGATTGTTTCTAGTACAGTTTCTTTTTGATTGAAATGTGTTTATAAGCAGCTGTTTAGTTACCTGATCCAGGTAAAACAGAATGGAGTTCCGTTCTGTGCCGTTCAGCAATTTAATTGCAGCTTTCATGAGTAGTGACATTTGCTAGGTATTTTTCACTGAGCAAAAGAATAAACCTCTGCTACTTCAAGGCAACAGGATGAGAATAGTGTTGTTACACTCAGATTAACCTTGCTAACTAAAGCAAATACAAAGCAATTAAAGTGTGTTCTGAGGCTACTTGGGGGGGGGGGGTTTATAAATTCTTTCCAACATTGCTTTGCATTGTTCAAATAAATCTGTTTCCCTTCTAAGCCACAATCAATTCATTTCATGTCATTATTATTTTCTGCATGAGGGACTAAATTACCCAGTTATACATGCATACTTAGTATTTGCTTGTAAACATTTATTGGCATTAATGATCCTTTACATTGTATTCCAAAATACTGTATTTTTATGTCATTAAATGTGAGAGCAGTTGAATGTAGTGGTAGGCAGAAAAAATTACTTTCTGTCCCATGCTCTCCAGTTGGGAAGAGCAATAGAAAATTGCAATGGTCTCAAATACCAACATATGTTATCCTTTGGTAAATGTGAAAAATTTAAGGATAAACGCTTTATTGAAGACCTTTAAATTGTAGACGTAGACCAATATTTTTGAATTCTGATGTTATCTATTGCATGTGATTTCCTCATGTTGCAAACAGTCAAAATCCTTGTCTTCTCATAATTTTTTAACCGTGGCATCTGATTATAAAACATTGTCTCCAAGTTACACCTTAAGATGCAACTTCTCATACACTCAATTTTTACCTTTGTAGCCATTTTTCATTGTTATGGTAGTCTGGCCTTCTCAGAAATGGTTTATGGTTTTGTCACACAAATGTTATGAGCTTGTATTGATCTGTGTTTAAAACAAACTAACAAACAAACAAAACCAAAATCCCCTACAACTTATTGTTTCTTCAAGAATCTGTAATATACAGAACACTTTCTACAGCATCATCCACTTATCTAGTAATTGTCTTAAAATATCCAAAGACATTTCTTCTTTTTTTTTTAATTGTAATCCATATATAAGAACTGACACATCAGTTTCACATCCTTATGACTCTAAACCAATGGACTCTAGATCCATTCCAGTTTAGAGCTGAATTATATGACTGAGCAATGCAATACACCATGTAATGCTCTTTAATAATAGTGTTCAGTACACAAGCAAGTATTGTCTGATTCTAGTTGTGTATATAGAGCTTGAAACACATCACCAAGGGAAGATATATTTGTTCCTAAAAAGCCATTTTCTGAATAACAGAATGATAATATTTGGATATTTCATTGAAGTCTATGGGAGAACAAAGCTCACGCTGTGTTGAAGATTACACTGCTTTCTCAGATATTTCTTTTAATACTACTGTTTCTGTATCAAACAGTATACAAAGTACACGATTCAAAAAGTGCCGCTAATTGTAAATTTTTAACTTTCAAAACATATTTTCTGTTTTGTTTCTGATACAGTCCTGGAGTCTATAACACTTAGAACTGATCAACTAAAACCAACAATAGGTAACAGTTTCACCTATAGGGTAAATCACCTGGGGACCATCGCATTTAGCTTTTTTCTCACTAACCATCACAAGCACTGCTTCATTGCACTCCAGTCTCATAATTTTTTTACTATTAAAGTTCATCCTGTAAGGGGGCGTTTGGTGATTTTTCACTAACAATTCATCATCATCTTTTTCTCTTTTTTCCCTCACACAAGTGTGTTCTGTGAAGGGGATAGAAGCACCACAACCCACCTTTGACTGCTAGTCTCTATGCTCCATTTCTATCATGTGCTGCTTCACTTTTATACTGTGCAGTGATGCTGGCCTTGTTTTATATTATCCTGTCACAGAGGTTTCCATCAGCACTGGGGTTTATGTTCCAAGTGTTCATATTTCTCCATTACTCAAATTTTTGTGATTCCAAAGGGTCCCAAAGGCATGTGTTCTTCTTAAATGTTATTCTTTCTGTCAGTATCAGTTCCCAAAAAATTCTAATATTTGCTATTTTTTTAGTTCCTAGAGTACCCCAGTATGTTCCTTCCAAACCTAGAGCATCACCAGTCCCAGAGGTGCCACGAACAAGACCTGGTAAGTACATTATTTTTTTACCTTTTCATACCGGCATGTGTCTCATGGATTCTACTGTGACCACTGGAGCTTCAGATTTGTATTTATTCCTTGAGGGATAAAATCCAGTGACATGTAGAATTTATAAGCAACCTGGTAAGTTGAAAATATCTTCAGTTATTTATTACATTGTATGTCACTGCAGAAACAGATGTTTTCTGTACAATTCTCAGTGAAAATAAGTATTTTCTATGTAACTTGTGTTCTGGTAAAGTGAAGGTGAAAATGAGGGGTGTCATTGCAAAGAGGAAGGATTCTGCTCTGTGTTTCTTAAATTGTGCCTGTTTCTTCTTTTCCAGGCACAAGCTTTTATTCATACTTGTTGATTCACTTTTCCAGACCCCTCGCGTTGTTCAGAGATTTAAGAATGTGTAGTACTTCCTATAATTGTGTCTGCATGTGTTGTTATACCCATATACAACCATAGGAGAATTAAGGAGGGAGAAAGTAAATTACACAACTTACATTTGCATGATGTGAGGTACCGTAGTGGGTTGACCCTGACCAGAAGCTAAGCACACACTAACCTCTTGCTCATTCTACCACACAGTGGTCTGGGGGAGAGAAGCAGAAGAGCTAAGTAAGGAAAAAAAAAAAAAAAAAAAAAAAAGAGAGAGGAAAAAAAAAATCATAGTTCGCAATAAAGACAGTTTAATAAGGAAGGATAAAAAGAGGTGGAAGAAAGCAAGTGGCACAAAGCAACCACACACCACATCCCACAGGCAGAGCAGTGTCAGTCTAGGAGTAATGGGTGCTTTGGAAAGTTTTGTTGCTAAGATGGCTTCATGTGAGGTGGAATATCCCTTTGGCCAGGGTGGTTCTGCTATCCTGACTGTGTCCTCTATGAGCATCCTGCCCACTCCTAGCCCAGGCCTCTTGCCTGGAGGCAGAGTGAAAAACAAAGAATTCTTGGATGCTGTGACAAGGCGTACTCAGCAACAACTAAAACATTGGTATTTTATCAACACTTCCTTGCTCATGTATGCAAAACAGAGTACCACAGGGGCTGCTGTGAAGAAAATAACCTCCATTCCAGCCAGACCCAGTACAGGTATCCAAGGTACATGGAGTATTAGAATGTGTTGGTGAAGAGATGGGCAGAGAGACAACTCAGGTTCCTTTTCTCCCCAGTAAATCTGCACCTATTTCTTGAAAAAAAAAAAAAAAAAAAAAACTTGAAATAAGTCTGGAAAGTGTACAAAGCTGAAGGTAAAAAAAAATCCACCCACAGTCTCTTTGTGGCTTTTACAAAAAATTTGGATTTATATTTGGGATCTGTTCTGTGTTAGAGCTGTTACCTTGAACTGGAGGAAATTCTGCGGAACATAATACTTCAATGTTGAGTTTCAGGGAGGAGTGACTATCTGTCATCAGCCCTAGCAGGGGTGGTATGATTATTGTGGAGGCAATTATTGTTCTTGGTAATACTTTGTTTTTTTTGTTTTATTATGCTAATGCAGTTCTGGAAACAATTAGGTTTAGAACTGAGAAACCAAAGGCAAAAATAGATAATGATACTTTCTTGTTTGAATGGTCACATTGTCTTTCTTCTTCAGCACAAATTGTTAAAAGCAGACCTGGAAAAAATTGTCATCTTTCTTTGCATGTTCCTTAATATTTTATCAGTCAAGGTTCTTGGTGTCTTCTTATTTTCTATTAAACAATCAAGGAGAATCCTTGTTTCTTTCAAGTTGTTATGCACATAAGATAGGAAAATCTCCTTCAACATTTAATGGTAAGAAGCAGAGCCAGATCAGAACAGGATCCTAATTATATGTTTTCAGTCATCCTGTGAAGATAGCACCATTGCAGGTGCGGAGCACCATGGGTGGGCAGAGCTGCATCCTGAAAGCTTTCTTTCTCTTCCTCTTTCTTTTTTCCCCTTCCCCTCCAGTTTTATTAAATGAAATTCAGTCCTTCATAGAGGACTGAAAAATAATTCTGTTCCACTCAAACCTCTATTTTACTGTCAGAACACAATCACTTCATTAATCCTGGGTCATATGATTGCTTGAGGCCGATCTATTTGACTAAGGCATTTTTGTCACTTGAATTTGATATTGTGAATCATTCCAGGACTACACCCATTACAGGGCAGTGTATTTTTATTTGAAGCTACTTATTACTTTAATAATGCTTAACCCAGTTTCTTTCTTTCAGCTTCTAAAGATACATATCACAGGCCTTCCAAACCTAAAACATCACCCAGTCCACGTGTTCCTCCAACTAGAGCAAGTAAGCTTATCAATATTTTGCCCTTTTGTGCATGAAAGTTTCTTCATTTTGAAAATGTTTAAAATTGATGAGTTCTGTGAAGATACAGAGATACTTATTGTCTAGGCTGTGCTTTGCTGTCATAATCAAATTTTGCTATACAACTGTCATTGAACATAATTAGCTGGATATTTATAAATGTCAGTGACACGTAATGGAGATGTGTGGTTCAACACTCGTCCTTAGCCCTTGCACACAGGAAAATCTGCATCTTGATTTCTTTAGAGTGTGACAGAAATATTTATATTTTTGAGTTGCTTCTTTAAAAGTGTAAAATTACAGTACTTTGCTGTTCCCAAAACTTTGGATATAGCTCTGTCAATTAGAGAATTAGAGTTAAATTTCCATGTTTCTTCTGCTTTGTCTGCTTGACTGAGGATTTTTTTTTTTTTTAATGCACAATTGATTTAATTGCATTTAAATGAGCAGTAGGTTTTTGGAATATGAAACACTTGTGAAGCACAACTAGGAAGTGTTAGAACTACAGCAGTTTACTCTGTAGAAAGCTGTGTTTGTTATTGCTGTTAGTAATGGAAAGTTGATCTGACACTGCACTGTAAAAGTCACTTTGTCTTTGGTCTCTGCACTGGCATTGTATTGATTGCGCTAACAGGAGATCTCTTTGAGATTATTTTAAACTGACAGAAATAATCCCTAAAAAATTTCTTAGCAGAAAATGAATCTTCTGATTCAGCAGGAAAATTGAAAGATGCATGTTGAATCATCATCCTCAACAATGTGTTCAAAACTTTGCACATCTTCATAAGTCCAAGAATCATCATCCTCAATAATAAATTCAAAACTTTGCTCATTTCCACAGGTCGCAAAGAAAGTCGACGAGTCCCTTCCAAGCCCAGGGCATCACCAAGTCCAGATGTGCCACACACAAAACCTGGTACACGTTGTTTTGTAGTGCTTGAATATCCAGGGGTTCTTTTGAGTTGTCTTTCCTCAGTGAATCAAGTGTTGATTAACATTTCTTCATATTACAAATACATTCTCTGATGATCACTGAATAGGTGTTTCAAGGAAAACAGAGCTGATTTCTATTTTTAATTTCTGAGTTGTAGTAGTTGCCTCTGCTTTTCAGCCACCTGACATCTATCACGGATGAATAACCTGTACAGCAGAGTAGACAGCACACAAACATCACAAGAAGCTGGAAGAAATTGCATCTCTTTTATGCCTGTCAAAAGGTGCTTAGGGAAAAATCTATTTGAGGGTCTTCATGTATGACTCCAAAAATCTCTAGCTGAAACTGCTCATAGGTTTGTGTGAGCTGGTAATGGAATATCACCCTTAAAAATAAACTTAATAGGGATTTACATACTAATGAACAGCCAAACATCTCTAACTTCTAACAGTTCTGAGAGTATCCATTGAACATTATTTTGAGTGAGTGTGTATTCACTAATTTTACAAAGAAAAGAAAAAAAAAAATCTGTTCCAAATTGAAAACAAACCAGTCATGTTAAAGGGAGTATTTTTACCACTAACTTATAGTCACTACTAACTCTGTGTGTCTTGTTTTTATGGAGTTTTGGCAGTCAGTACATTTACAGTTGAACAACAAAAGACAGCAGCAGATAAATTTGTTACGTTGGGCTGGTCATTATTATTTTTTCACTACTCCTTGGGCCAATGTTTATATATCACTAGTCTGTTTTTCACATAATCTGTGGTTTTGAATTGTTTTCTTTTCTACTAATTGAACTACATTCTACTCTGCAGGTATTGAACTGGTTTGTTGTCTTCACATAAAATTTCTTTCCCTGTCACACACGTTGTAATTCCTTTGACACTTGTAGGAGACCAGCACACCATGGGTATTGCAGTTATGGGTTCTGAAATATAGACAGAAATATATTCCCTGTAGTTGTCTGAGCTCTTTCTGGCTTTGTTGCTTGACTCCAGATTTTGCTTACCTGATTAATTTTCCATTCATGTTTTCATTCAGGATTTTGTTTTCTCTTGAATTTCTGACATGTACTTAATATGTATCCGACACTCAGTTTTTCAGGCTGTGATGCAGGGATTGTTTTTTCTTTGCAAGCATAGGACATGCAGTGCCTGTGCAACAAACCTTTGTCAAAGTACAAACAAAATTTTGTCAAAGTATAAACCCTTAAAACAGATCTTTTCTTTCAGCTCTTAAAGAACCACAACATATTCCTTTTAAACCTAGAGCAACTCCCATCCCGGATGCTCCATACAGGAAGCCTGGTAAATTATCTGCTCTTTTTGAAGCTTCAGTGGATAATTGAACAATAGCTTTTGGGGTGGCAATGGAGGGAATAATCATCAGTGCATTCACTGTTACCTGGGTATTATTCTAGGTTAAGAAACCTCTGCAGGGATGCAATTAAATCTGATGGAAACGTCAACAGTTCAAGAGTTTTTGTATTTTATCAGACATTAACAGAAGAAATACTATCAACCTCTATGTTTTAATAAGGATAAAAAGTTATTTGCATCTTCTATCTGAGCAACACACTTTAATAGTTTGCACCATGTTTTTGAAGCTTTTATGAGAGAAACCTCCTAACACTGTTGCAGTGCTTTTTCTTTATACATGCATTTTCACCCAGATTAGAGTGAGGTTTCCCTTCAATTACATTTTGCTTAGGTGACTCCCCATCATAAATCCAACTGACCTATGTAATATAATCAGTTATTTCACTGAAGGTTTGTAACTGTTGTTTCCTAACCATAAATTTCTGAGGGTAAATGCCCATTGCTGTTTTAAGACATCCCTTTCCTGTTGTATGCAGTATAGTGCTGAAAGATTTTTTGAGAAAAGGAGGAAAGGGAGATTTCTTTCATTATTCAGATAATTTATTGACATTTTTTCCAACAGAGATTCTTCCAACCTTTGATGAACGAGATGCTACTATGATTCCTCATATTCCTGAAAGAACAAAGGCAATATTTGGTAACTGTTATTTCATAAATAGTTATTCTATTTTACACATTTTTTAGAGAATATCTTCTAAAAGAGAGCTCATTATATTTTATTAAAAGCTAATAATGAAATTTTGCTCTACTTGTAGATACTTACTTGCTCTTTGGTCTTGATAAGGGTAAGAATGCATGAGCTCATTTACTTCCAAAGGTTCTTTTCCTCCTCTTCTAGCCTTTCCAGGATGATGCAATTCCTCCAGACGTTATCTATTTTCCAGTAAAAGGGGACTTTATTTAAAGAGCAGATAGAGATGCTTCACAGAATCACAGTATAGTCTGAGTTGGAAGGGACTCACAAGGATCATCGAGTCCGACTCTGAAGTAAACTGGTCCATCACAACACTTGCATTATCACCATGCTCTAACCAACTGAGTTAATCCCCTATTCTTCATGTGAATTGTGGATAATTTCATTCTAAAATACTCTCCTTCACTCCTCATAGTTTAATTTTACAGAAAAAAATTCTAGCATATCAACAATGGCATAGTCTCCAGACCAGCTATGTGACCATCTAAATCCCACTCTGCTTCTTGAAACCATCTTCTGCTTTCTTCTAGTTATCCATGTTGGAAAGACTTGCTTAAATATATGAAACCTTAGCTGAGTGTTCTTCCTTCTTAAGTCAATTGTCAGATGTGGATCAAGTAAGGGTCACTGAACCCAAGCACTATCCAGGAGTAGGACATTGCTTGAGCAATCGTTGTTCAACCAGTTTTCTGTCCCCAGCTTCAGAGACAGACCTTGACTGTGATTTTCTGAGAATGAAATGGTATATATTTTCTGAGAATGAAATATTAATAGGCATTTTATAATCATCAAACTATGTTTCTTTTCTTTTTGAGGAAGAGGAAATTAAAACTGCTTTTAAACATGTTTCTATTCCAATTTATATTCTCTGTATGCAATGATACTTAGGTTAGTATTCATTCAGTATCTGTTCATCTAGCTTTATGAAGTAGGTGCCCTGTTGTAAACACCTGAGCTACCTGAGCAACAGTCACTGCAGAAAATGATTCCTCAGAGCAAGGGGGATGAAAACTGCACAGTCTAAGGCAGATAATTTTGGACCTCTTGCATTGGTGTAGACCACAGACTAAAAAGTGCTAAGATAACCTTTTCCTACTTTTTCTACAATGATTCCTACTTTTACTTACAAGATTTTTTTTTATCTGAATAGTGTGAAGATAACAATATTAAATCGTTCCCACATAAGAACAAAAGAATTTAATTTAGAAATCAAGTTTGACACAAATGTTCCACTGAAAAAGAAATCCTGTCCTCATATACTCATGTGTGGCAGATGAGGAAGACACAGATTACCACAGTCTAGTTTTGTCCTATTACAGTATGATGACATTAATGACTATATTCCAGTCTGCTTGATGTAAAGCTACAAGTTTGTATATATTTTTGTAGAAGTCTTTTTGTATAAGTGGCCATTTAACTTGTTTTCCTTTCTTTGCAGGAATCACAACTTTCAGCTTATTCTTATATAATTTGCCTTATTCTAGATCAGATCATACTTGTGTTCCTTGTGCACTGTGAAAAGCAATGCATTTTTTCATTATTGTTTTGGGTGCTGTTTTGTTTTTATTCTAGCTCCAACTGAAAAACAGTTCATTCATACCAAACGAAAAACAACTGAAAGACCAAGAGTGCCATACACCAAACCTGGTAATGGAGTCATTATTTTAATTTTGCGTTTAATCATTCTTTCCCCAAGTTTCAGGTTTTGTGCTTCTTAATGGGATTATTCATAGCCAGTTTTGTGGTGAAACAAATGCATTACACTTCAGATGATAAACCCAAAGTAAGCCAAAACTGCACTACAAATAATAGTAAGATATGTATAATATATATAATGGTATTCCTCTGTCTATTACACATAGCAAATGATGACTGAAATGTAGTAATGTGGGTATTGACAAATTTCAGTGGCTAGGCAGTTCTCTGAGCTCTCTGTGATTACTGGTAATCTTGGGTGCTCCTCTGTGAGCATTTTTTTTAATTGGTTCTTGAAATGCAACAGAACTTCTTTACAATGTGCTTGTGCAGTTAGCAACAGACATTGTCTGCTGTATTGAAATGAAAATAGCTTTAAAAATAGTTATGGAGGGCTGTGTGGCTTCCCATTTTTGGTATAAATGTATAGCAGAAGTTAACAGAGAGAGAATTATATCTGTCAGCAGTTGATTATCAAGATATTCTGCTACTCCTTAGTTTGGGACATTTTGCAGGTTTTAGCAAATGCTGCTTTGTTTAGATTACAGATAAGTATTCTAAGATTTTTCACATTTTCTCCTTAACAGCAATACATCCGACAACTCCACAACCAATTATTACAAAATCTTCTACTACCACTGGTCATTCAAGGGCAACAATGGGTAAATAAGTTTCCTTAACATTAAGATACAGGTATTTCTAATTTTTCAGTGGAGAAATTTCTAGAGAACATGCTCCAATGTGGTATTTATATAACACCAGTCCACTATTCTTCATTCTGCTGCCACGTGCATGTATCTTAGCACAGAGGATTCTCATTTCTGTTTGTCAAGTAAAGCAAAAATAGCCTACAGCTTATGTCTGATCAGAAATCTGTATTTGTCAGACCTCCAACCAAAGTCAGTGGCCTAATTTTTCTTTTAGACCAAGAATTTTAGCCCCTAACTCAACTTACCCTACAGCACACTGCTGGGACTTTTCAGTGTTTTGGCTAGTCATTTTCTTTCAGGTTCCAGAAAGCCACGGAATTGTTATTGTCTTTTTTTCAGGCATTTGAGGCATGCATTTTCTGTGGGCTAAGTATGGCATTGGATCATGACTCCTGAAGAATACAATAATAATCTTTTTCCTTTTCTTTCAGCTCCAAAAGAAACACTGCTCATTCCTTCCAAATCCAAAACATCTGTTGGGCCAGAAGTACCACAAACTAAACCTGGTAATTTACAGTTTGTAACTTTAGAAGTGTTACTGTGGCACTGCCTTAGTTATATTTCTGCTGTCACTGAGTTTTGCAGTCATGGAGCATGCATAATAAGTAGAACAGAATTTTGTATCATTGCTCAGCTAAGAACTTGTTCATAAATTATATCAAAGTGAATATCCAAGGATTGGATCAATTTCCATGGAAAGCAGTTGAATGGGTTTAGTAGCCATCAAAAATGTGAGAAATTTAATTAATTTTAATTAAAATATATTTCTGTGCTTGCATTCAAAAAGTTTTTTGTTTGGGGAAATTTTATTATTCTAAATACGTTTGATTCAATTTCACGAGTATTTTGAAAATTGGGTTACAGAGTTTCAGTCCAAGATATTTTACCTGCTAAGAGTAGAAGTGCTTTCAATACCAGTGATTTTGCAGTAACCATGGTAGATTCAGGGATGCACATCTGTAGTGAAGGGTGGTGATATCTGAGCTTTACCATGAAGTGATCTATTTCAAGAGAAATTGCTAAGAAGGAAGATAACAGGAGAAAAATATAGTTAGGTGAAGAGAGACTACATGTCTATATCTTTCCTTCTCTCTGATCTAACCTTTGAATTGATAAAATTTTATTCTTAGAAAAAAAGCTTAATGAATAGTTTAGTAATTTGCCCTCCACCTTCTTTCTCCCTGTCCATTTTTTATGGCCAAAGAGATTTCAAGCAGAGACCCTATTCATTCAAGAACTATATTCTATCTATACATACACCATATGTGTATATATATTACTGTGAACATCAAACTGAACAGTCCAGGAAAAAGATTTTTCTAAATACCTTGTTTTGAAAGGCTGATCAATAACCAAGTTAGATTCTAAGTCTCAGTTGAATAAGAGCTAATTGCAATCATATCATAGTTAACAAGTGCCATCTTTTGGTACCACTACAAATTTAGTTTTAGTGAAAGAATTTTAGAGAACAGAATTTAGAGGCTTATTTTTTGCCTTTTTAAAATACTTATAAAATTTATATTTAAAGTTTAAGTTATTATAAAGGTGTACATGCAAAACAAGGTATTGGTAGGAAAAATTATAATCAAATGTTTACTGTGAAATATAAATGGCTCTTTTTAGAGACTGCTCCTTATGTGAGTAAGTAGGTTATTTTCCAGCTTCCATATTTTTACCTTACTTCTGAAAGAAAAAGCCATGCAGTATGTGCCTCTGCCTGCCAGTCTCTCCTTTTCATCCAGTAACTTGGAGACCTTTCAATTAATTCATTCAAATTTGAGTGAGGTCTGAAAAATAAATACATTACTCATAACTTCTAGAATTTTTTTTTGAGAAGTGTAAGTTAATCAACAAGTATTAGAAAGACCAAAGACTGTCAAAACTCCAGGTTTAGGGCAAATGTTCTGAAGTTAGTGGGGGCCCAGCAGAATAGTTACACTGTCTGCTTGTCAGCATGAAAATACATCCAGACTAATCAGAATGTGCCTGTCTCATGTCTGTTAAAATTGTCCTAGCAGATGTGCAGATAGGTTTTTAGGAAACAATGGAGACAGATCCTTCATGAAATCCAACTTCTTTTATTTGCCTTCTCACAGAACAATGGTTTATTTTTTATAGCTCCAAGGGCAACACACCTGGGATCAATTAACCTTGTAACAGTTCATGTTGTTGATGGGTCCAAAATAACTTTGGGTAATGAGAATATTACATCAGTTTATTTTTCATCAATCTTTACTTTCTCTGCTTTTGCTATATGGCTAAACCTACACTTTAATCAACAGAAATACCTTAATATATCTTTGTCACATTAATTTGTTAGTTACAGCCCAGTGCATGTACAAAATGTTGCTGGTTTTAATTTTCCAGCCATTTTTCTTATTCATGTGATTCTTTATAGAAATAAGTACTACATGTACGAGGCTGAGGTGTCATGTAAAAAGACATTGCCTTATCATCTTTTCTGGTTTTGTCTGACTTACTAATGATATATACCTTACCAGACACGGAAAGTCTTTTACATGTATAAAAGCATGATTTCCAGCCAGATTTCTAGCACTGACTCTTTTGTTTATGATTTACACAGACAGTTTGAATTTCCTTTCCACCTGTGATGTCTTATGTTTAAAAGGAAATCATTTGCATTTGCTAAGCAGCAATATGTCCATTTTCAGTTCCCAATGAAACATACCACATTTCACCCAGGCCCAAAATTGGTCAAGCAACTGAAATTCCTTGGTTCAAAACAGGTAATTTTTTAAGATCTTCTTAAGTTGTTATATTGAGAGTCTGTAGATCTTAAGTAAAATCAATACAGTTTACTGTTTAATAGTCTGTTCATTATTACCTTTTAAACTGTTTCAAATAAGTAATATGAAAATTTATTTTTCCCATTATCAAATATTTTAGTTTATTTCTCTGAAAATGGGATTTGCACAGTATTGCCTCAAATATCGAAGATTATATTAAGTTCTCAAACAGTATTACAGCTGTGTATTGGATACTCATATGTATGTAGTGTTGCAAACATCAATGTAACTGAGTTCCAACTTTTTCCTTACAAAATCTAAATCTGTATAACTTCCCCAATCTAAATGTTAAAAATGAGTAGTATGTTCTGTCCTGTATTTTCTCTGATCCTTTGGAGAGGCTGGATTAAGTGTTATGGGTCGAACGTTTATTTGTCTTTAATATCAAACAGCCAGCTCTGCTTAAAAGAACTGATTTACAGTGACTACTGCTTATGCTTTCATCTTCCACAGATCCAACATCTAGACTATCAAAATTATTTTTCAAGTGAAAGGCAACAATAAAAAAAGGTTCAGGGCTTCTGATTTCAGCCTTGCTGATGACACTGTTCTTCATCTGCCCTGCACAGTGTCTGCATTAAATGCCCCCAGCTGTTTTCTCAGCAATATTTTAATGTTTCATACTTTTATGTAAGTCTTTGGTTTGGGAGGGGTTCAGTTCGGTGTTTTATTTTGAGGTTTTTTGTTTGTTTGTTTTTTACAGAACCTAATTAAATGTCTTAAGGCCATGGATACCTTGCAGAGCTAACTCTGTATCCATATACATTTGGGTAACTGGCTGTAAATATTTTACATCTTTTTCCTAAACCAACGTATGAATGTAACTGGTCAGACTGCATGACGGAGTCATCTGGCCACTAAAGAAACTAGCATTTCCCACATGCATTTTGGATTAGAACTCATAGAGCTCTCATGTGTCCATTTTGCTGTATCACATTGGTGCATGGACCTCTTTGTCTGGCAAATCGCACTGCGCTGTCCGTGTTCTGTTACACACAGCATTGAAACAGGACCTTATTTCTTTTAGCACCTCATAAAACTCGTCTGACTTCTGCAAGACCACAGCCTTCAGATAAATCACAGACAAGACCTGGTAATAACTGTTTATTCAGTCTGGGATGGGGAGGAGTTTAAGTAGTTAATTAACTTTATCTAGTCTTAGTGGAATTTTAAGTATTGCTGGGAGGAAAAAAATGGGATATTTTTCAATCAATTAATAAATCTAATGGTAAAGCCTTTTCAAATCAGAAAAAAAAAAAAAAAACCAAGAAAAAAGAAACAAAACTAAAACTATGCGTGTCACAGCAGGTGTTATTTCTTCTTCTCTAGTGTGGAATTCTTGGCATCACATAGAAGCCTGTTGGGTATTCTTCTCATGGAACTTCTTTCTTTTTTCTTTTTCTTTTTTTTCTTTTGAAACTCTCTCACAGCTTTTAGTAAAACCACACTAGCACCAGTCAGAACAAAAGCACCTGGACTGCCAAAGTGGATTGTGCCAACATCAGGTAGTGTTCTGGGGCTGGGGTGGTTTTTTTAAGTTTATCAATAGGAGACTGGAATGTGACTTTCCCAAGTCATCTTGAGCCCTGCAAAATATCTCACTGTGTTTTATTCTAGAATTTAATTCCTCAGAGTGCCACGTCTAATTGCTTCTACTGATCTTGTTATACAATTTCTGAGGGTGATTATGAAATTATATTGGCACTCAGTCTGTGTAAATTTACAGATTTATTACTGTGTGGCTACTCTTCACTAATGTTTTCTAGATGTCAGATCCACAATAAGTACTGGAAAATGCTTCATTGGAAAAGATCACCCATTTGTTTTAGTCCAAGTCAGGAGGCTTGGTAGCCTTAAAGCCAGGTATCTTTCTAGGTACACCCTATGCCCATGGTGTGTTCACATCAGACCTACTCACACTCAGACCATGCAGTATTTGGACTGTGCAGTATTCAGGCTTGGATGCTTCAGCACCAAAAAAATTCCATGTTGGTGGATGGCAGATGACATCAAAGTGAGAGCTTCAATTTACATGTCCTTAACCAACAGATAACAAACATCCCTAACCACAAAGATTTATTAAAAAGACATGTCTACTTGGGGAAAAAATAAAGTATCCTTTTTCAGTTGTACTTGATTTTTCCATCCAATCAACATAAAATTTTCAGTGTTAATTCATAATGAATCCATTTTTTTTATTTCATAGAGCATTAATTTATTACATCAATACAAATAGCATTGGGTATTTATTTTTTATACAGCCACTGGTTAATTAAATATATATTTTTGGGATTCTTCACCAACAGTTCAAGTTTAAAATAATAAATAATATAAATAAATAATAATGTACATATTCAAGGCAAACATTTGTCTGACCGCCCACTAAAGGTTCTATTGTCCCATATTATTGCTGGCTCCTGTTACTATTTCTATGCTAGCTAGATTAGGGTAGCCAATGATATTCCACCTATTCTAAATAATTTTGCCTGTGTAATGTTTCTTTCTGCTGTATTCGGAAATTTTATACCTGCTGCTGATTGTAAAACGTCTTGAGCTACTCATTCCTGTACATTTTCATAAGTCCACCATGTTGTTAGAAATGGTAAAAATTCAGCAGAGATGGTTGTATATTTAAACTGAATTAAATTTAACCTGTTTAGAGTATGGCATACATTTCTGTATTACATTCACTAGCCTTCACTAGAGCTACATGTTCTCTGATCTTGCATAGTCCTTCTGGTAAATTCAATGAGGCCATGAAATTCCAGGACATCAGAGCCAGTTAAAGCATTAATTGCCAGATTTCAGTAGTTGTGGGTCAAAAGGTTTTGTTGTTAACTTGCACTGGAAATCACCTTATACAAGTGAGCTTTCTAATGTCTGATTACTGGAATAGGAGAATGCACAAAGGTCTCCAGGAATGATCACATTATGAAATTATGCACAAATACACAGTTACATTACACAGTACATTGAGTTTTCTCTTCTCCCTTATAATCATAACCTTGGCAGAGGTATTGGTGGGTTATTGAAACACCATCAAAACTTACTACATGCTAAGTAAATCAGTAGTATAAACTTCTAGCTACTACTACTAGTTTTATGTGCTTAATGCTGGTTTAAGTTGCCAAAGTATTAAGAAATCATATTGTAAGTGGCCCTCTTGGTGTGCCCATCATTTGTTATTATTTCCATGCCTTTGTTGTAGTGCCTGTTGCCAGGAAGAACTAGAGCTTCATTGTGGTAGATGGTGTCAGAAGTCACCACAAAACTACTAATTACTGGGCATGTTGTGTGTACTTACTGGTAAATAAGTACCTTCTTTTAGAATTCTTCTGAAAAATTATGCTTCCAGTAGTGGTTTCCATTGCCAAGTTAAATAAGCATATTTTTTCTCTAAGTTAAAGAAATATGCTGTAGATGTCTCTCAGCTAAATTTTGTGTGCTGCCAAGTAAGCCCTGTAAGTCAAAGTATCCAAAATACCAAAGGCCTTTGGTATCTCCTGCCCAGTTCTTGTACCTCCAACCCCATGGCCACAACACTCATTGACACATTTCTGTGAGTCTGCACCTTTCTTCTGAGAAATGTAAGAGAAATCACCAATGAATTTCATACATTTATGTCATCTTGAGAGGGGACTGCAGCTTGTCACAACTTTTCAGTCTGTACTTTTCTTGATGATCAGTAAGTGAAATCCCAAGTCTTCTGTAAGGCAAGTACATCACAGTATTGCTCCAGTGTCTGAGACACAAGGCTGACCGTGCCCATGAAAATAAATTCACACAAAAAGGAATTCAGGTAGCCAACTAAAGAAATCTTCTGTATCTCTCCCAAGCAATGTGCAGTGAATTACCTATTGCAAAAGAATTCCTAAGTCTGCAAAAGAGACTTGGGAAAGAACTCTATAACCTGGAACTTCAAATCCTACCAGCTGAGCAAAGACAAAAAAAGTTCCTTTTTCACTATTTTCTGTGGTCAAAATCCTGAACTTTTGACCTAAGATGATCAGAATTTTTAAGTGGGCTGTTAGGAATATGCTCTATATGTGCAACAGTATGTTTTCAGACTTACCTTTAGACATTACATCACATATTCTTGGATATTCCATTATTTGGACACCAGTTTGGATCTTTTTACTCCTTGCTGGACTGGCACTGCTGTTGTTTGTACTGCATTTCTTCTTCCTGACTGGGTTTGTTAGCCTCAGTGCAAAGATGTTTCGCCCCATGCAGGGAGGGCTTGGCAGCTGCAGGGCCCAGATGATGAGCAGTGGAATTTGTTTTTTCCATCACCAGCACATGGGGTTGTGGCTGGTTCCTGGCAGGCTTTTCAGCCTCCTGGCCAGCTGTAGTGCCAGGTGGTAAACTGGACTGTGGAAAAGAGGCAGGGATTTCTTCCTCATGACTAGCATTCCTTTTTGGTTTTTGTCATGTTTTAGCCATTTTCTCTAGAATGCCATTTTATCCAGATGTTGGTGTATGTAACTTACCTTACTGGGTTGTTTTTTAATTTAATCCTAACCATATAAATACTGCTTCTGATCTACTGAGCTTTCTGACAAATGTCAGCAAACAAACTTTGAGCAACATTTTTCTTTCCCTTTTGAAAGGGAGGCATACATAGTTTTCATTAAAATGACCATTAACTTTGAGTTCTATTTTCTTTTTATTTTTAAACTGTGTGTATAGCCAAGTTTCAGAGGAACTCAAGTATAAAGGTATTTCAGTTTATTTTATCAAGGGGACTTTTTCTATTATTTCCCCTTTAAATGATCCACCCTTCTAACAGTATTCCTGCAATTAAAGACGGAGAGGTTAGTTTAACATGTTCCAGACCCCATGAGTGTTTCCAGGAAAAAATACAGAATTAAAAGAAGACACAAAGACATATGCAAGTAATAGGTCTATTCTAAATTCTGATTAAAAGTTTGGATGAATGTGGTAAGTGCTTTTAATAAGCAAGTTACATTAGGTAGAATTAGGCATAGCATTAGGCAAATGCTATGACAAATACAGAAAACTTTGGTTGTGCAGGTACCACGTGTGAAAACACAAACTTTTGTGTAACTATAAAGCATATTGAAACACTCAAAATAGGAGATTTTGTCAGCATGAAGGTATTGCGGTTTGAAACTTTGACTTATTTTTTGTTACTACTTTACTAATATCAGAACAGAAATGCATGTTTCTGAAAAGAAAATAAAATTACTTCTTCCAGCTAGAACATGGACAATATTTTGTTCATTTTCAGCTGACATAACACAGGAAAGATTATGAATCTAAATTAGATTCTAATAAGCAGAATAGAGATAGATTTTCTGTAGAGACTGTAACATGCAAAAGTAATTTAGACTTGTAATATACACTTGGGTGATTTAGTGTGAATTAGTCAATGTGCAACCACATTTTGTTGATATGTTCACTTAAAGGTGAGCTGAGAAATTAAACTATACCTCATGATGTACAAGATTATTTTTCATTTTTTAAGGCTGGTGTTGGTCTTCTCATGCCTTTTCTTCCTTGAACATCATTCACATGAAACATTGATTATCACTCTGGTGCTTTGTTTAGCTGAAGATCTAATTAATTATCTGAAGACACATTGCAGTTATATAAAACCATATGATGTATTCAGATATTTTAGACATAGGGACCAGGTCACCTGCATCCATTTCCCAGCTTCCTGCAAGTCTTATTCCCAGTTTGCTTTAATCTCCAGTAAATTATTTATCATGTATGGATTGTGGATTTGTAATGAACATGCAACAAAAACGGTCAAATAGTAAAGTAATTGAAAAATTATCTGCTTCATACCATTAAAATCCTAGTGAAATATCAAGACAAATTGAGAACCAGATTATAAATCTATGAAATCTTTAGCTGAAGTGATTAGATCATGTTGGAACAGGGTTGGAATTTGATAATTAAAGTAATATTGAGATTTATTTTTTAAAATATAACAGATTTTAGGAGTTTTTGTCTTACATCCTAAGCAAGGGTGTAGGGGGGTTTTCCCACAAACATGATGAAGTTGCAATGCATCTTCTTACTTTACTGTATATACAGTCTTTATAAAGCAAATATACTTACTTTATGTAGAGACAGGATATTAATTTAGCAGTTTGGCCATCCTATAAATACCAGCATGTGAAACAGTTGTTCTGTACCAGGAGTTGTGATGATCTTTTAATGCCACTTACTTTTTTAAAAATGTGTTTATATAACTTTCAAGTAGGACTTTCTCTTATATACAAACTGGATGTTGTGTATACTTTGCCTCCTGTACTCCAAACATGGTGAATATATTTGGTCCAGAATTGCTCTAACCATTTAATATGGAGGGTGACCAGAGATCATATGATGGGGAGAAGGAGAACTGTGCCCTTTGCAAGGATCAATGGACATTTTACTCTTTACACTGAAGAACTAGAATGTTCTCTCTACTCATTTTTCCACACATAGTCTTGGTTTAACTCATCTGTTACCTCTTCATCTTATTAATTTTCTCTTTCCAAATATGCTTTACTAGAGGAATGTTTGAAATTAAACTGTAGACTTTGTAGAACCAGATCACTTTCCACTTAGCTGAATAAGAAGATAATGGATATTACCAAGTTATAAGTAAAAACACAGAGGAGACACATGTTGGTTTTGCATCAACTGCATGTCAGCTGGAGTTTGAACACATTCTATATACAAGTATACCATGACTTGGTGCCACACTGTAGATACTTATTTCATTTCCTTTTTTTCACAGATGACCTTTATACACCTGAGGCTACTGCCAGACCAATTGACATAGATGTCAAAAGACCTCCAGAATATGTTGACACCTGGCAAAAGCCAATTTCTGGTAAGGTTAATAAAAGTAAACAATAGAGCAATTTTTAACAATTATTATTAAAAATAAAAATGCTGCCTTTTCTGCACACAAAGCATCTCTACTGAGAAGAAAAAATAATTCATAATCATCCTCATCAGTACATGTTCTTATGGCTTCCGGATGCTACTAAAAGAGATAAGAATAATTTATAGCCACTCCTTAGTCACTTACATATGCTTAGTCACTACATATGGTAGAAATTTTCACCACCGGAGCTGTATCCTTATGATCTAACAGCTACAATACTGTAAGCACTGATTTTTTTCATGCCAATGTTTTCCACATAACAAAGGAGAATCAGTAAAAGCATAACCAACTCATGTATGAGGAATTTTCATTGAATATTGGGATTGTTGGAAAAGTCAGAACATTAGGCTTGAAGGAAAATAACAATGTGGAGTAAATCAGGTTACAGAGTTTTTTACATGTATAATACAAGACTTGTAGGGTTTACTCTTCTGGCAAGTCTTGCAATCATGTTTTCAAAACAATCAAAATATTTTAACTGAAACATACATACAACGGGAAAGTACCCTGATGTGTAAAGAATTTCTCTGTTACATAAGCATAATCAGGCACAAAATTTGCTTTATCTGTGGTTTTTTTCTGACATAGAAACTGACTGAAAATTAAATCTTTTGTTTTATTTTTGGATTTATTATTCAGCTGCAGATGTTCATTTTAGGTAGCTTCTTCTTTGAGAATATCTTATTTTAAAATACTATTTTATAAACTGCTGTGTGTTCCTAGTCCCTGTTGGATTTCCTTTGCACCTAATTTACCTCTACAATGAAAAGAGCCTATCTTGATGGCCATGTTTTATCCTTTTTTAGTTTATTCAGTCTGACCACTGTACTTTGCAAAGATTAAATCTAGCGTGATGTACTATTAGTAGCAGCTGAAGGCAAAGTATGAACTCAAAACAAGGATGATACTCTGCACTTTTTGTTGCTGAATGTCAGGCAGTGGTGTTTCCTTAAGTAAATCCAACTTGTGATTTGCAGAGACTTGAAGGTTTTTTATGCACATAGATTTGAGGGAACATTAGGACCAACTTTTATTTGTTTTATGACATTTGATGTCTAAAGTTAAGCTTTTAGAGCTTTGAGGTCAGTACCTTGAACTGTAGTCATAAAAGGCAGTTGGGTATGACTGTAAAATTAGCTACTACTGTTTCATCATTTTCTTGTATAACTGCAATCTCAGCTCTCTTCATGTGGCCTTAACATGTGTATCAAAATTCATGGAATCATAGAAATTTTCTTTGGGTAAAAAGGGACGTTTAAAGACCAAAGAATGTTTAAAGACCCCACCTGCCTTGGGAGGGACACCTTCCACCAAACCAGGTTGCTCCAAGCCCCCTCCAACCTGGCCTTGAACAGTGCCAAGGATAGGGCTTCCACAATTTCTCTGGGCAACCTATTCCAGTGCCTCACCACCCTCACAGTAAAGAATTTCTTCCTAATAGCTAATCTAAACAAACTCTCTTCCAGTATATATTATTATCAAATAAATCTACCCTTTAAACAGTTTAAAGCTGTCTCTCCTTGTCCTGCCACTGCAGGCCCTGTTAGAAACCCTTTCTCCATTTCTCTCACAGGCCCTCTTTAAGCACTGTGGGTTGCACTAAAGTCTCTCTGGAGCCTTCTCTTCTCATTAAACAACCCCAACTCTCTGAGTTTCTTCATAGCAGAAGAGCTCCAGCCCTCTGATAGATTTTGTGGCCCTTCCATGGACTGTCTCTAACAGGCCCCTGTTACTGTTTTCCTGGAGACCCGAGAGCGGGATGCAGCACTGCAGGTGGGGCCTCACAAGAGCAGAGGGGTAGAATCACCTCCCTCACTCTGCTGGCCACACTCCTTTTGGTGCAGCCCGAGACACACATGGCTTCCTGGGCTAAGAGCCCACACTGCTGGTTTGTCTCTGGTGTTTCATCCACCAGTATCCTCAAGTCCATATCTGCAGAGCAGGGCTGTTTTTAATCTCTCATCTAGCCAGCGCTGAGACTGGTGATTGCACCCAGTCCAGGAGCTGGATTTTGTGCTTGGCCGTGATGGACTTCAGGAGGTTTGCATTGGCCACTGCTCCACCTGCCAGGGTTGTCTGGATGGGATCCTTCCCTCCAGTGTGTCCACTGCACGACCAGCTACCAGCTTGGTATTACCCACAGAATTGCTGAGGGGGCACTCATTCCTATTGTTGTGTCCCCAATAAAGATGTCTGCCCTAAGAGGCTGCTCATCCTTCTCTTTCATTGAGAGTGTCTGATTAAGGACTGCCCGTCCAGAAAGAAGCCTAGAGATTAATTAAATAAGAACATTTCACCATGTTGTTGTCCTTACAAGAATCTACACTCACGAAATCCCTAAATTCTATTGTGCATCCTAGTTTACAAGTTCAGTCTCCACACACTGGTAATTAGATTTGGTAGCATCATCGACCAGCACTCAAATCATTGTCAGAAGTAGGAGAAGGGAAAAGTAGGAATTCTTGTTTTTCCAGAGTACAGTATAGTAGATTCAATTGTGATCCAGCACTCTGAATGCGATGTTTCAGTTTGCCTGCAACTGTTGTAGTTGTGCTGCTCAGAAAATATGATACAAACCACTAGCAAGTCAATACTTGCACATTTTTACTTCATAAATACCTTGGACAATTCTACCTTCTCTAATTATAGGCAGGGGGAAAAGTAATGATGACTACTACCATATAGTAATATCTAGGGTATGATGACATATATACAAAAATTTACTATATTTTTTCTGGCCTTAAGCATATTTTTTAATCACCATCTGGAAATTAAAAATTACTATGAAACCTAGAAATGCTATTTTCAAAACCACTACATCCTCCTGAATTAGACAGACCATTATTTTCTGTCTTGATCTGAGTGATTTTAAAAAAATAAATCAGCTGTTTCATAAGTGACTACAAGAGTCCTAAAAGGAAAAGGGAAGAGAGAGAGATGGAGATATTCCTGGTTGTATATTGTAAGTATTTCCAAAAAAGCTCTCCTAAATGAGTCTTTGGATCTGCTCCCTTCTCGCCCACAGTCTCTCTATTTATAGGGTAAACTAAGGTCTGACACACAGGACCTGAAGTACCTTATGGAGCCAGTAATTCAGTATCAGGCAACTTGCATAGTTGTTGACATTGGCAGCCTTATGAGAATTATATTACTCTTGAGGATTTTCTCCTTTTAGGTACAAAAAGGCTTTTGTTACATAAATGTGTTGCACATATCTCCTGGATTTTCTTAAGGAAAGAAAGGCAAAGGTGAATAGTGGAACAAAAATCTTTTCCTTTGCCTTTCCTTTGCATAATAAAATCCTTCATAATTATCTGGAAATTACAGTAAAATTATATGTAAGTATGAATTAAGGGGCTTAGGTTTTCCTTTTAGACCTCACTGTCAAAAGAAATTATTAGATAAATGTAATGGGTACTGGTTGGAGCTGCACATTGAAATAACCAAGTTGGGTGCTTCAGAAATTTTGGTAACAGTAATTGTCTTTAGCCATGTCAGTGTATGAGGTGACTTTTTTCAGTTTTGAATGACACAGAATAAAGTGCTGCTAATGATAATTTCATTTTCTTAGATATTTTGCTTCAAGCTGAGAGTGGCCAGTTGTATTAGTCAGAAAGTACAAGAGGTCAGAAATTTTGTGAGTAGGATACTGAAGATGTTTCCTAGCACATTGAAATGGTGTTTGTTGTGCTAAGATGTATCCATTTGAATGCCAAAAAATTACTGTTGACAAAAATGAGTAACTACACAGAAAGTGAATCACTAAAACACTTGTGCAAAATCTCAAAGGAAATACATTTTTTCAGTGTAAACTTTTTTTAAAACTTCATGGCACACAGTTCTCAGAGATTTAAGATTGAAAATACAACTCAGATCATCTCCTAATCTCACCTCTCCACTTTTGATATTAAATCAGACATGAAACATTGCTTGAGAAGTCAGAATACAACTTGTAGTGTGTTTCTGATTTTATGGAATTTGAGGTTAAATAATTAATAATGCTGTCTTGTAATGTCATTCAGTGACTATACCACCTGGCCCTCAGCACCCTCCTGCCAGACCTACACAAATGAGAAGAAAACCTCTGCCTCCTAACTCTGTGACTGGTAAACCAGGGAGTCCAGGTATTTCAGCCTTTTCAGCATAAACATTTTATTGTGTGTGAGATAATACTGGCTAGCAGGGTATAGGAGAATTCTACAGCATAGATTTCTTTGATCTGTGATATCTACAGAAACTAGTCTTTTGGAACCTATAGACCTTGTGTTTTTTGTCTTCTTACAAAAAACCTTGTTTCTTTTTTTTCCCTAACCTAGTTATATCAAAATCACACCTAGTAAGGAAGCTGAAAGCAAAATAGCACACTCCAAGTCATCCTTTTAGATCAACCTTAAGAATATTTCATATCTACTATCATTTTTTGCTATTTAATGTGCATGTTGGATGTGCAGTGTTGACTATTGTGCTTCAGCGCCTAGTCCTAACTGGTTATTTGTTATGGAATTGCTCATATATATATGCTACATCCATTAACCACTGCAAAAAATGAGCTAATAGTCACCTAGACAAGTAACTGCACTGGGAGGTAGAGCAAGCTAAGTTGTTTCATGTGAAGAGTTTAGTTTGATTATTGTGCTAAAGTATTCTGGCTTCTCAGTATTGGTTTAAGAGGACATAGAAAATTCCACCTTTCCTATTTTATTTTAAATTACTCCTGAAGCAGGTATTCAGTATCCACATGGATGTTCTGTCAGTGGATTCTATATAAGAATCCTTAGGCTAACATTATTCCATGTAGTCAGAAATTATCATCTCCTTAAGCTTAATACCATGACAGCTTTTTTCCTCTTCATATTGATCTCTGTAGTTCCTTGGAGTTATAAAGGTCTTTACATATTAGAATATGCAGCTATATATGAATATATACTGGATTTCCTGTTGTGGTTTTTTTGTTGTTGTTGTTGGTTTTTTTGGTTTTTTTTTTTTTTGTTTGTTTGTTTGTTTGATTTGGTTTGTTTTTTTGGGGGGGGTTTTTTTTGGGTTTTTTTGCTTATTTAATTTGGGACTTTATCTGCTATGAAGGTACTAAAGACCTAAATAATGCTTTAGTATTTTGTGTGGCAGATGAGTAGCAAGTATCTCCAGGATGGATGAGACAATCTATATATCTATTCATCAGCAGAGCCAAGATTGAAATACTGTGTCTCTACTTGTTGTTGTTGGGTGGTGTTTCCTTAGTAATAGTTCCCAGAAAACAGAAGTCATCATCAGTCTTAGACCTGATATATTTTGTTTTGCTTATATTGGGGTCTATACTAATTCTCTCCACTAAGTGTCTAATTAATTTACCAGTGTTTTGAAATTTCAACCTTTTTCCTGACAGTGGATGCCAGGTTATGTGGTAGTCAGCATTTACCATACCTTCCTAGGCTTTCAAGATGGAATAAATTGGTTAAATTATCTGGTTCTTCCTTGTGGGGACAGTAGAAGATTTTCCTTCTTCTGTGTTTCCTAGTGTTTTATCCAGCTTAGTTTTAAACACTGTAATTTTGTTTCTTCTGGTTCCCTGGAGAGAGAGACAGTTCCACTGTACTAACAGGAAAAATTTGCCTCAATGTTCTTCTTGGATTTTCCCTGTCAGAATTCTGTCCTATTTCTCATTAACACTGTGATTAATTCCTTACTTGAATTTTTCTAACTCATCCAGTGGATATTATGGAAAGGTTTCTATGCAGACATTAAAAGTCTCCTGAATGGGTAAAAACAAATGGAAATGAGAGTTCCAGAAACTTTGTGAAACTGAACTCTAGCGAGAATCTTTCAGATTTCCACTTCATTAAGAAAATTAGTGGAAAGTAGGGATTTTTGTTGCCTCAAACTTGGCTCACCAGAGTTCTGCCCTCAGTTGCCGTGCTCTGTATCATATATGATGGGGAGGTAACTACATTATGTAGTTCTTGACTCTTCAGGGTTGAGATTTCGCTGTCATATCATGGTTATCTGGGAGTATCTGCATGCTTTATGAATTTAATTCTTGTCTTTTACAGCTATTATGCAAGAAATCAAGACCTTTACCATGGATTGTTTGCCTCTTAGAAACCTGTTTTCTTTGTTAGGTGGTAACAGCTGAAGAATAACAGCAATGTCACATAATCTAAAATATCTTTTTTAAATAATTGTCTAATTATAGGTGATAATATTGCCTCTGTCAGTTAGTTTCTGCCCAGACTTATGGAACCTACTACAGAAGGTTCAGAACAGAAGTACAGAAATGAGTTCAGCAAGAAAACTTTTCTTCTTGAGCGATATAGTGCTATAAATGTTGAAAATGCTGGACTTGGCTGCATTTTCTTTGCTTTCATTTGAAGTGTATCATCTTAATTTCATGTAGTGTAAGCTTCAGTACTGCTTTGTAGTTAAACTCTTAATGCAGACCACAGTTAAGAACTTGGCGTTTATTGTTGGAAATGTTCCAGCACCACTAATAAATGTGCTGTATAGAGAGCAGAAATTAATCTTACCTATCTTTGAGGGAAGGATCCAAGTTTCACTTGCTGACTTCAGCTATTGTGCCTTGCAACTCAGGAACAAACGTGCCCTTTTTCAAGGAACAGCAATGTTAGTGCTGGTCATTTTGCATCCTTTTACCAGTCTGTGTAGGATGGTTCTGTACACTGAACCAGGTTATATTCTAGCCAACTAAGGTCCTCCAAGACAACCTAAAAGTAGCAAAGAATTTTCTTACTGGGTTTTAGGATTAGGTTATGTTTGCAACTAGCACAGTTCAGAACTTTCCTAAATCCAGCTGAGGGATTACTGAGATTTGAATGACAATACTTGTTGCATGAAGCAGTTGTCACAAACTGAGTTCTCTTAGAAAATGAGAAGGCTGTTTGACTCATTCAAATGCTGAATGTCTTGTTGCTACAAGTCCCTCCATCTATCACTATAGCTAAGCCTGCTGGACCAACACCACCTGTGAGGACAGGAACATTATATAAGACACCAACAGCTTTTGCAACTCCAGAGTATTATGGTAAGCATGTTACAAACAGTTCTGGGTTTTTGGTTTTTTTTTTTTTTGGTTTTTTTTTTTTTTTTTTTTTTTTTTTTTTTTTTTGGTTTTTTTTTTTTTTTTGTTTTGGTGGTTTTTTTGTTTTTTTGGGTTTTTTTTGTAATTAACATTAAGGTTTCCATTTTTCTTTTGCTTCCCTTCCCTGAACTTTAATGATGCATTGTATATTTAACATAAAAAGTATTATGTCTGAGATGATTGTTATTTCTTTATGCCTTTGACTTTTCTGATTTGACTGAGATCTAGCTCCCTTCTCATACTCATCTTGGTAATTGAGAACATGACAAGGCTTCCATCTTCAGAAATCCATACATGCTTAGCGGGTTTTCAATACTACTCTGTGGTCATTTAAAGCTGTGCAAAAACTGGATAAGGTACTCATTTTCCTGGATATTTCAATTTTCCCAGGACATAAATTCAACATATTATTTTTCAATGACTGAGAGTCCTCATCATAGATGTGACAGCCTCCTTTATTTGATCAAACTGCCACCATTTTAATTGAAAAAATTGTAGTAGTGCAATCATAGTGGTCAGTGGTTAATTTGTCCTTTATAAAACTGGGTGTTGATTACAAATTCAGAGCTGAGTCTTTCCAAGGTGACATACAGTAATGAGTTTGGAGGAGGATGTGCTTAGAATTTTTGGGCCCAAATTTGCAGTTGTTGGTATATTGTCATGAATGATGCTGCTTCTAATTTTTCTGGACTTATAATAACACTTAAATTCTTGTATCCTTACAATGATCATGAACTCACTGTGACCCACAGTGCCCAGTAAAGCACACTGGATGCTAGATTTATTTATAAATGCTTGTTGGGAAGATATCGTGTTTTATCTGTTGAGGTCCATTGTAGTATTTGCATCACGTTCAGTGTAGTGGCTAATTAATACAACACTGTATCATGAATCCTGATTGCTTTAGCTCATTTCTCTTCACCAGTGTATTTGCTTTCAATTTCCTTCAATTTTTGTGGAAGTTGTATACTCTGAAGACAGATTTTTTTTTTTTACATTTCCTTATTGTTATTTTTAGAGAAGTTACTGTGCCAATGTAATAGTTCTATATATCCCAGGAACATCAAAAAATCTCCAAGCTAAATAGCCAGCACAGTGCAAAAAGATCCTTTTTCCATGGCTGGCCTTTTTCTTCCTTACCAAAAATTAAATTAAAGCAAATGCAAGACAATGGTCTAAAAAGTATTTTACATATATTGCATTAATTGAATCCAGCTGCAGTCATGAAATATGTAATTTTGATTGTGGCTGGCTGTACTAGCAGGTAAGTACAGGGTTTACACAGCATCACAGAAAAAATACCTAAAATGAAGAGCCAGATCTGCCAGCAAATGTCTACCATTTATCTATTCTTATAATTATTGAAAATGCCAAAGAAACTGTGAAATGCTGCAGTTCTAACAATGAAACTTTGTATTTGTTGCAAATTATAACTGTGTTTTCTACAGTTGATGCAACAGTCTTCAGCTCAAGTCCTACATCAGAAACTGATTCTTCAGGAAAACCAAGGTACCAAGGTAGGATATTCATAGCTATAGTATTCCAGGGGGCATATGAAGTCTGAGGTATCTTGCATCAAATTATCGTATTTGCTTATTCAAAAACCAACATTTTATTTGATTCTGTGTCACTTTAGTGGCAGATGTAAGAGCTGCAGTACAAACCATCATTTTCTGGACTAAAGTTATTGCTCCTTCACGTGAAACAAAAGTGCATGTCTTTGTATTAGCATACCCCTCAAAAGCTGCAAGTAGAATTATAGTCTCATTTTACTACAGAAGAAATAAAGTTGATTTGTTTATTTTGTGACAGATTTTAATTCTTTCAAACAGTGTGTATCACCTACTAATATCTTCAGAGTATCATTTCATCAGTAGTGCCAGTGGGAAGAGGGTGAAGCAGTGCAGATTCCAGGTCAAACAACAATAAGTAAAATTTTAAGAACATGCCAAAAACCGAAAACCAACAACAAAAACGTAAAATCCAAAACAAACAAACAAAAATGAGAACAAGGAGCTAATATTGAATATATGAGGTTTACTCTGAAAGCTTGTGTTTCACTTGTGCAGACTTTTGCTTGGTGTCCTGATATAGCTATTGTGCACCAGGTGAAATGGCACTGCCATTTTGTAAAAACACTCTATTGAATAACAGCTCTTTCCTATATTGTTCTTAGCCCCCCATGTCAAGTACATGAAGAAAGATGATGATGTGCCTTGCTCCATCACAAGCTCTCTTGAACATTTTCCTCAAGAAGAAGTTGGCAGCAAGGAAGAACCCACTCGTCCTCCGCAAAATCCTCCAACCAACCTCACGGTGGTGACTGTAGAGGGCTGTCCATCCTTTGTCATATTGGACTGGGAAAAACCAGATAATGACACTGTTACTGGTTGGTTTGATTTCTTTCCTCCATTGTGTGGTAATATGGTATTTCCAGCTTAATTTACTTTCACAGTAGTTTTTTTGTCATTTAAAAGGACTTTAATCCCCAGGGATTAAAGGAGCCTAGTGGTTTGGGGTATTTTTGTGCTACTGTCAGCTCCAGTGTGGATAAGAAAATGCTGCTAGATTATAACAAGATTTACACAAGGATCATTGGTGTCAGTGATGACACAAAAAGATGCTTAAGAAATGTGACTCCGTATCTCCTCCAATTTTCTGGCTCTTCTCTGTACAGGATCTGGTAAGACCTAGTCAAGAAGTTCCAACAACACAGCAGTATATCTAGATGCACACACATAATGTAGGTGTCTTTCTTGACTTGAGGCTGTTGTTTCACAGTGGGCCAGACACAATCAAAGCTTACATCCATCTACTAAGTCAGTAGAACTTTGCCAGCATAATACTTGCAGTATTATGACTCACTGCAAGAGGGTAAACATACCCACTCTGTTAAAAGAATCTGGTTTTTCTTTCATTAGTAAAGGAAGTGGTTTATATTAAGAATAAATGCCTGTGAGTCATGCAGGGCTCAGCGCACAGACAGGTAAACATGCAAGATGGCCATTCTTCCATCGTCTTCTGTATTTCAACATTAGCTGACAAAAGTTGAACATTGAAGTTAACTAACAGCTCAGTAAATGACTCATCAAAATCAATTATGAATTCAAGAGAAGGCATTGAATCCTGTTTTCTGAAAACAGTGATTGCTTCATATTGGCATCAGTACGACATTACTTGTTTAGACAGGCTTAAACCAGTTTTGCTGTCATCTCTTTCTATTTTTGTAGTTTATGCATGTTTTTCCAATCATCTTATTTAGGCATCACATCTCTTTTTTTTTTTTTTAAATAAATGTGCTGTTTCAGATAGAAAGGTGGAAACAGAAAACATAATTTGTTGCATCATTTTGCTTTTTGAATGCTTACTTTTCTTGACTTTAAGGGTTGACTACAAGGGTTTTCATTGGGTATGCCCGAAACCAAAGCATAATGGAAAGGTCTGACATATAACAACCAAAACAGTGATCACACTCACCTCCTTGTTTTCATAAAAACTTCAAGTGTCAGGAATCAAGACCATTCTGCTCATGCTTTGCTCATATGTGTTGCCACAGAAATGAAGGGCAGTTTGTTGCCTTGTGCACAGAGTAACAAGCAGGCACTGGATGGACTCGGTAGTTCTTGGTGTGTTTCTGTGTGTGCATGCACATATTTGCATGCTCATTCATTTCCTGCATTTTCTTTTCCAACTTGGATGAATTAAAAAGTCCATATCATGTATTGACTTCAGGCTGGCAAGAGGCAGAAAGGCTGAATTCCTGTAAAATTGCATACTCATTCACTATCTGTCTGTATTTTAGAAGCTCAAGTAAGAGATGTTACTTGATCTAATTTTTCTTTGCTGTAATTTTCCAGAGTATGAGGTTGTGTCAACTGAAAATGGAGGAAGTGATGGTGAAAAGGAGAAATCAATTATCACTACAAATCAAACCCATTCTACTGTGGAAAACCTAAAACCTGACACAAGGTAGATAAATAATATAATTTTTAAAGTTAATCCAACTAATTTAGACTGTCAGCTGTCTGCGACATCAAATGGAAATACCTGTGGAAAGAAGACCTGATCGGTTTTACTCCTGTTTTGATAGAAAAAAAGTGTATGGTTTGGTTTAGCTTTCATGTAAGTTAACAGATAAAACACATTTGAAGAATCTTTAGGAAATTTACAAGAGTATTTGTGGTCTGGACAAGCTGCAGAAGTGACCTATTGTATCAGAAAGACTACTTGTCAAAAGTAAGAAAATTACTGTGAGAGGAAAAACACATTTTTCCTGTATATATAATTTTCTTTCAGTGTCTTAAAAGAGCTGGCAAATTAAAAATGAGTAAGTGCATTCCGGTTCATGGTGTGCCTCTCATGCAACTAGTTCAAATAAGTATGATCTATCTTTAAATATCAAATCTCATAGAAAAGTATTCTTCTTTTTATGGTAAAATTCAGAGCAGAAAAGAGAACCACTCATCGTTTGTTACATTGTTTACTAATTGCACCAGAAATTTTATGAGCAACACTTGGGGTTTTTCCTGCAAGACCATTTGGCTTTGGTGAATGTGTGTTTCTGTTTTAGATAAACTAAGATATAAAGATATAGCTTTTCCTGAGAAGGGAGCAGCTACCATTCACTTTTCACTCATCCCAGCCTCAAAAAGGAAAGGGAGTGAAAGCCTTTCTGGATCCAGAGGACCGCTGCCCAAAATTGAAAACCTTCGATATAAATTGCAGTGGTGCATGTCCCCCAAGTCTCATCAGATTTAAGGATGTAAAGTCCTCAGAGTGGCTCTGTTCAATAAAACTCCCATTCCAAGTGCAATGTGTGTTTCCTAATTGTGAGGACACCTTGAGAGCTTTGGCAGAAGCACAAGAAGTTACTGTTACCACTTAAATCCAGGCTTGCTGGCACACTGAATTCAGGGAAAACAAGAAAGTGGTTAAGACAGGTGGCATAATGTAGACGGAATCTGTTCTGCCAAGAAACATCACATGTCCATAATAAAAGTCTCCTGTCTGTCAGGAGCTGCTCACTAGATGAAGGAAATATGCTTGTGGATACAACTGACTGCAAATGGAAGGAAGAGCAAAAATTAAACACAGCTCAATATTCATTAACAGAGTCCCTGATATGTTTAAAAATTCATCAAGGAATACATTAGACTGGGAAGGAAACTTTTCAATAACTAGCCTCAAAGGGAAGAGCTGTAAAAGAGGTAGAGCTGAAAAAGAAACTTGACAGAGAAATAGAAATCCCTCCCACAAATGATCAGTATTTGCAAAAGTACCAGCAAGATATGGACAGAGAGATGCTCAGTAGCAGAAGATGGATTAACTGGGAAGAACCTCTTAGCCTGGGAACACTTTGGAGAAACTGGCAGGCTGAATTAGAGACCCTATTTTTTCCAGCTTTCCTGAAGCCCTCAGTGAGGTTTGTGTGAACCCCCTATGCTGGTCTGAAGGTCCAGTGCATTCAGAACTAAAGGCAGTTCAGGACAGATCTAAAGCAGACAGACCTAAACAAAGACTTCCCAAAAAGGCATAAAAATGTTTGTGAATCTGTTATCTCAGCCTTCATGGGTAAGTCTAAACCAGAAAGATCCTGTAGCAGCAAGCCAGTTCAAGGCTGTAGTTGTGTAGGTGTAGGCTCTTGGGGAGCTGTACCTGGCAGAGGGTCTGCAGTCATGCTGGCCAAAGTCTAGCATCCTGTTGAGGCACTTCAGGTAGGATATGGTAGCACCTGGCCCAGAAGCTAAAGAGTTAATTGCCCACAACCAACAGGAGGGCAAGACAAACAACTTTTTGGTGTGAAGGGGGAGGACAAGCAGCAGGGAAAGCCAGATCATGCTTTTTACTTGCTTCACTCTTTTACATTCTTCAAATAGGTGATACTGCTGCACCTCTGGAAAGCTCTGCAGCAAGGCAGACACCCTTCTCCCTTTCAGCTGGCCTTTACACAAGGTAGCTTTTAAAGATTAAGAGCTAATGGCCAGACTAGAAATATTTCAGGAATTTGGACAGTGTTAGGGAGGCAACAAAGAGACTTTTACAGCCACTCATCAAAAATTGCATGTGAGACTGCAGCTGTCAGTAAGTACAAACACAGAAGTTAAATGGGATGAGGATTATGGTGTAGTATTCTGTGTGTCCATTTAGCTGTCTGAAAAGTGACTAGATCCAGAAAAAAATGCACTGCTGAAAAAAGAGTTTTGACTTTGAGTACAGTTATCAAGTACTTGGTTTTAGCAGACTCATGCCATGATAATATGGAGATGGAAATGAAAATGGACTTTCATAGGTATATACAACAACTTGTGAAGGTTAATTTTAAACAAATCAAGTTGTTGATTTGTTGTCAAATATATTATGGAAGTTTGTTGCCTTTCTGTCTTATATATGTCAGCTTTATGTGTTCCTGGTGACTTGATGGCAAGTCTGATGCTCTGAGATGAAAGTAAAATAGAGATTTGAAAAACTTCTGATTGTGAAGACGTAGACCCTTTAAATAAATATGGGGAACAGTCAGCTGCTTTCTAATGCAACAGGTTGTTTGGGGTTTTTTTCTTTAAAAAAAAAATGTTTTAGAGGTGCCTGTACAGTGTGATTTTATTGGAATGCTGACATCCATATGTTTTTTGCCCAAGGAAAGACATATCATATCCATGACATTTTCCCACAGTAAGGCATGCCTCACAGCTGACAACCACACATTAATTTAAAGGATTTTTCCTTGTAGGACAAACATTTCATCCTCTTTTCCCCCTAGAGAGTTCTCAAATGTGGTGATTGCAGGATTTCAAATTTTAGAAGATTTCTGATAGTTTAAATAACCCAGAAAGTTAAAATCTTGATATTCATTATTTGGTTGGTCAGAGTTCTTGAAATTGGTACTCTTGCTGTAAGTAAGCTATTGATTGGCTTCAGTCTAGAATTCTGTTACAGGAGATTTACTCCTGTAACCTTTACCTGAAATATCTCAAAGCATGTAGTGTTGTTGTGCTATGTGAGCTAGGTAAAAATATACATCTTCCTTACATAGATAGTTAATTGGATATAACTGGTGCCTGAAGAAAACTTCCTTTTATTTTATTAATGTCTTCTGCTTAAACATTTCTCTTATAGATGTGCTTCTATGATCTAATATTCACATATACACAGTGTTGATTATGAATTTGTATTGTAGTTAGCTTTTGTTACCCTTTATATTATTTCCAAGGACTTTAGAGTAGGTTCAGGTCACATTTCATTCAGCACCCTGTTCATTATCCCACAGAAGCACACATCAAAATTTCTACAGTCTTTGTTATCTTTATTCTTTTAATGAAAATATTTATTCTTCTTTCTCCTGATTGGTCTGAACACAGCAGTGAGCTGCTCAGTCTTTACTCTGTTGTTCAAACAGTGAGTGTCTGCCACTACTGTACTTGATGAACCCTGAGCTCAAAGCAGCTGAAAAGGGGCCTGGACCAGGTCACCTTCACAGGTGTCTTACAACACATATTATTGTAAGATTGGACCTTAGGGGCAGCTTCTGGTCTTGTAAATCTCATTTTCCTCTAGTTTCTTTAATACTAATGGCTAAGGTGGCTTAGTGTGTTAATGCAAATGTCATTTCTATCTTAGCAAAAAAAAAAAAAAAGAGAGCAAAACAAATGCACTAGTATGAACTAACAATTTTTCATCCTCCACATGGAAATTCTGTGATTCTTATAATGAGAAATGCACTGTTTACTCCACTTGGAAAAGAGTCAAACTGCAAGACTGATCATTTTGGTTAAAGTAGTTACAGTCTAACTTCCAAGCAGCCATTTGAGGAATGAGACCTGCAATATTCCACCTAAGTTGTCATACAGGTCTCCTGTTTCTGAGTTTCCTTAAAAGGCTGCTCACATTGGAACTCCCAGTGGTAGTAGCACTAGCATACCCAGGACTCTGCTCTTTCCTTGTTTTACATTAAAATTTCATAAGAAAGCAATGCAGTAATTTCTCTTATGTTAATAGTCAAGCAACATCTTCCATATGTGAAGCAAGATAAGGTTACTATCCACAATTTTCAGTATTTTCCATCTTGAGCTGCTTGTATGCAATAAACATTGAGAGGCCTGAGAGAGAAATGGGCTTACTGTGGTTTTTGTTGTCTTAATTCCATCTATTCTGTAGTAATAATGGTGTTCCTCTGCATATTCTCCTTGGAAAAAAAATTGGTTTCACTGATCTGTAGTTTTTTCATGGACTTTCCTAGCCTAATATATTAAATGCAGATGTTGTTTGGGTCTTTTTTTTTTCCAATGAGATTTTTTTTGCTATTTCTGCTGGTTTCTCTGCCAAAATATGTAGTTCTTATTTCTGTATCCCTGCCCTATCTTGAAACCCTTTTTTTTCAGTCAGTGTACATTTTCTATTTCATTCTGGTGGTTTGTTTAAGGGCAGTGTAGCCCATAGCACAGACCATAGTGTCCAGAAAGTTCTACAGCCCAAATTTCTATACAAGACTTCAAAAAAGAGCCAGAAGACTGTTGAAAACTGTTCTCATTCATGTTTGTGATGGCAGTAATAGGAAGGTAGTAAAGATATTAAGATTTGTCACAAATAGCTCTGGGGAAGTTTGAGTAGCCATTGGTGGATGTGTCCCACCAGCCTACTGTAGAAAAAGAGTATGAATAAGAAACAAAAAGCCTGTGAAGCTTGCATTCCACAGTTTTGTATAGCTTCCCATTAGGTACTGATCTGCTTCTCCATTAATTATTTTGGTGATTTCAAATATACTTTTCTCCTTTTTAAAAATGTTTTGAGTGGTTTCTTTTGGATTTTTGGGTTTGATTGTGTCCTAAGGCTGTTATCACCTTTATCTAATATTGGTTTTTATTGTAGTTAGCACCCAAACGTTCTAATCATATACAAGGAAAAACCCAAGAAAACCTCTATCAATGAAGAGAGTTTAGCTTTTGTTAACAGCAAGGGTCAAGAGATAAAAACTGTAAAGAAAGCTTCAATGCAGCAAAATTCAGAAAGTGGCAGAAAAATGCTGCAGGTTTCTATTTGTTTTATTAAAAAACTAACAGGTATTGTACTATATTGCTGTTGATATCAGGGTTCATGGATAAGCATTTCCCATTTCTCTTAGCCCTTCTTCCACATTTGTTAGGAGAAAGATTCCTCAAACAAGCATAGCAGTGTGTTCTCTCTTTCTTTCTCTCTCTCTCTCTCTCTCTCTTTCTCTTTCTTCCTCTCTTTCCTGGTGACACTGCCATCCAAGCACACTCTGCAGACACAGAGGAGCTCTGTGCACAGAGCCCTGCACAACTGCCATCCAACACCAGCATCTCCCCAGAAATAGACCTAAAGTCCCAGGTCTGTACTCAGCTGCTCCAGTTCTATTATGGTGAAAAATCTCTTTTCACCTATTTTCAGTTCTGCAATCTTCTCCTTTTGCATGATTTGAAAAATGCTGCATTTGCCAGAGTTCCATGTGGTATAGCAATTTCCTGTGGTGGAAAAATACGCTCCAAGTAGTAATTACTGTAAGTCAAGTCCATTCGATCTGCACAAGGACTTTTACTGTCTTACACAGTTTGGGAGGATCTGGAAAGCCTGGTCTCCAAAAGTTTGTAGGATATCAATCTTATAGATGCTAAAGGTGTGAGGCATTAGATTGCTGCTTACATAGGACAGCAGAGTTTTTGGTATATTAGGCAGGCAGATATACAGATGAAATGTAGACTCTAGTTTCTCGTTAGGTAAGTCTAACTAAGCAGCAGACATGGATTCTATTAATTTTGATGTACATTCTTCTTGAAACTCTGAGCATTTTCCCCCTTCTTTGTGGTTTCTGTAGGAGTGCATAACAGAGCAGATGGTACACTTTTCTACAATTTTAATTTTATTTTTCAGATCTTTCACCTTACACAAAAAAGGGAAGATTTTAGATTGTCTTCTATAAAAACAGCCACAGTATATCTTTAAAAATACTGTAAACCATGTCATATTGTGATCTCTGTCCGACATCTCCTTCCTCTCCTTTTCAATGTTCTGTCAACTAGCTAATTCTCTTCATCTCCAAAAGTGGTTGTTTGTTCTTTTTGTACTGTGGAAGCCACTGGTATTGTTTTAAGATTGAAATTGGCAGAGGAAAGGAACCTGTGATGCTTGTAAAAACACATACCACAGAACTGTAGAACTGCATGTATTTTAGTTTCTAAAATTTCTTTTTAACATTATTAATAAGAGGCTTCCCTAATTGACTGAGCTAAACTTTGGACATTTCCTTATTATTTTTCTTTTCTCCAATTTTCTTTATGTGTTTACGTAAGCTGAAGTCTCTATCTGTAGATTTTAGTTCTTTATTTAAATTTTGCCCTAATTTCCCAAGCTGTGGTTTGGTCTTTTGCAGAGAACCTAGTGATCTCTAAACCACAATTTGAAAAACAGTGCTTGGAAAATAGCCTTCAGTTCTTGTTTTTGTCTCTTTGGAATTAGGGAATTGATGAGTCCAAGTTGATAGACTAAAGATTTTTGGGAACAGGACTGATTCCTATGAAGAATGTTGCCTAATGCATCCCAAAGTAGAGCATATCAACTATTGAGAGCAATATATTTGCTCAAAAATCAGCAAAACACATACAAAGGGACACAACCAGATTATCACCCATGAGATCAAACCATAAACTGCCCATAAAGCAATAGAACATTCCATCTTAATGATCATTATTACAATAATAGCTTTAGATCAGGTGTTCCTCCTGTGAAGGAAGCAGGAAAACTTCTTTGCAGTCTTTTATGTCTAGGTGTGGATTAATATCTACATTTTTAAAAATGTATCATCTAGGTATTACTTTAAGACCCCCAACATATTAGGAAATCTTTGTTTATGCTTCAGTGGTTCTTCAGAAAAAATCTCTGACTCCTTTGCTACAGTTCTCTATATTATGACATTTCCTACCAGATAAGAATACTTCTTGACCAAAAAAGTTACTGTACCACGTGGCCAATGTGAATACTAACTGCTCAGGTCATATTTTTAAAAGCATGTCTTTGTTTAAGCAATTTGAAGTTGGGAATGAAGATTTATAAATTTCTTAAACTGATTATTTAGTTAATGTCTCCCTCCTACCATGGGGTAATATGGGTAGTTCCAAATTCTTTTTCAGCATATTTAAATAAATGTCAAGATTTCTCCAAATAGACTTTTTCAGCTCAAAACAAGCCCATGTTTCTCTTAGTAATATCCATGAATTTCCACAATGCATCTGTTCAGCATACCAGTCTATATAAGTATTTCCCTCAAAAAGAAAAGAAAACCCTAGAAATAAAGGCAAATGCTTAAGTAAGCAATTTTAAAGTTAAATATTGTCTTAGAAGTACGGCGGATGGAAAACAGTTGCTGGGCACTGCATGAATACTCCACTGAGGTTAATTAGCTCAGGTTTTGCAGGAGCCAAGGAAGAATGAAAGGTAATCCAAAGTTTGGATTGAATTATTCTTCTGGGGAATTGCAAATGGAGTTTACAAATTTCCAACTGTGCAGAGCATGATATGGGGGTTTTCTTTCTTTAGAAAACTGCTGTTTGGAAATTATTCCAGCAATACATTACAATGCTACGTTACAGTCACAAGCTACCAAAATCGTCATGGGTAAATGATCCTTCTCGAGTCAAGAGCTGAAAGTTTAGTTGCCCACTTCTGGGACTCACATTTTTTTATGTGTTTACAGCAAAAGTGCCTCCAATATGGGGCCTGTTTTCCAGGCCTACAGTCCATTTGACTCATGCCCTATGGCTCCCTGTCACTGATGAAGAGACCCTCTCTGTTATGAGAGATTCACCATACGAGTGCTGAGAGCTTGGGAGATGTCCCTCTGTACATGGCACTACCACTGGCAAACAAGCACTGAGAGGTGGGGGAGGCTTAAGAAGAGGAGGCTGGTTTGGATTTTTTTCTTCAGTCGTGTTGTTTTCACAGCACTGTATTTGATTCCCAACACAGTGATGAAAAGGGATCACGAGACAACTACAGCACAGGCCAGCATTGTGCCACATCAGTAAAAACACATGCAAAAGAGACTGCACAGTGTCTTGTCATTGCTTCATATACTTATTATTAACATACATTCAAGCAATTGGGTCTTTGCCTTGGATGAGCCCCTGTCCTGGAAGACTTGCCCTGTGTTTTGCTACTGGTCCTGTCTGTCACTGTGGGTGGGCCTGACAGGCATTGAATTGGAGGTTTGTGTTCCTAAAAAAGCAGAAAGTACAAATAAATAGCAATGTCCTTTACTCAGTCTCTGCTTATCAGGTTGCCTCAGACCTCATCTGAACTTGCTCCCTTTGCCAGAATGAAGCTGCTGTGTGAGAAGAGACAGACAAGTCAGTGCTGAATTAAATAAAATATTAATAGTATGTGTGCAAAAAATTATCAAAAGGACTGGTTAATTTTGTGTTCAGTTCAGATCTTACACAGTTAGGACAAAAAACGTCTCAGTGGTTTTGTGGCAAGAAATTAGGCTTTTTTGTTCTCCAGAAGGGGAGTAGTCCCAATGTGTGTGTTTCTTGCTTGCTCCAGACCATTCAAGAATGCTTAGTTTGCAAAATTTTCATCTCTTCTCTTTTATTCCCCAGTTATGAATTCCATGTGAAACCCAGGAACCCCCTTGGTGAAGGTCCAAGTAGCAATGTTGTGACATTCAGTACTGAATCAGGTGAGAACTTCCAAAGATCAGACCATCATTTACAGGGCCTTTAGCACCCATGTCTGTGGGACACATGAAGGGCTCTCTCACTTCATTTTGTGCAGTCAGTCTTGCTCTTTAATGTCTCCTGATTGGCTTTTTACTACCATGCCTGCAAAGTCAGCCTGGGATCAGAACTGTATTGTCTGAGGATATAAGATGGACAGACTGCAAGAGAAAAAAACCAGAGGAACATTGTCTGGTATTCATTGCAAAGAAAATTACTTCATCCTTAGAGAGGGCTCAGTAATTTAAGATTTATATTCCTGACCTTTTTGCATCTATCCAACTCATTAACAGCTTCTGGATGGGGAACATTAGGGATATTTTTGGGCTGGTGTGTTCATAGGTGTTTTTGCTACCTGTTCAATAAGGCTGCTGTAAACAGTGATGTTGTTTGGCTGAAATAAAGATTGAGAAAGAGCTGTTGTGAAAAGTCAGTGTCCCAGTAGGTCCCCTTCCATGGTGTTTACTCTCCAGTGAAACTCCTAAAGAGGTGTGTGCAAGCCTGTTTTGGCCACTGGTTGGTTCCCAAGTCAAGTACTCTCTGACTCAGAGGTGAGAATCAGAGAGCTTTTGCTTTGCCTATTCTTGCTGACTTGTTGACTTTAGGCAAGCAAGATACCATCTTTTGTGCAGAAGTGTTTATTGCTTGGTAGTACTGAAAGACCACATAAAACACAAAATTGATTTAGCCTTTTTAAAAGGACTTTCTCAATCTGTGTTTTGAGCCAGGTCTAATAATTTAATAGTGCTCAACTAGTGCTGTCACTGATGGATGAGAGTTTTGGCTGAGCAAAGGATTACTCAGGGAGGAGTGCAGACTATGCCACACATATTTAAAACCTCTGAATACACTCTTTGTAATTCTAGATTGTTAAAAGAAAAAAAAGTTTGTGCCAAGTGCAATTTTCATGAATGACAAGGCTTGTGTTCTGTCTCCTATTTAGTTTGGACAAATTAAGCATGCAGTTTTGTTTTTTCTTAATTGCACACATCCATTTCTCACATTTGGGCTTTCAAAGCCAAGATTTTTGTGGCAAGTATTACAGATGTGCCCTTTTTATTATTTAGGTTTTGAAATTGAAATTTTAATAAAACACAGTACAATTGGGTTCTGCTGTTTACAGGTTTAAACTCTTGTTTTTACTAGAGCTCTGCTTGGCTGTGTTGTCCCATAAGTAAAATTATTAAAAGCTCATTGATACTGGAGTTTCACACAAGAAATATATTTCTTCTAATTTAATTTAATACAAAAGTTAACTTTGCTTCCAAAACTCTTTCTGTTTCACAAATTACAGCTTACGTCAGCTGTAAAAAATCACTTACCAATGCTTTTCCATAGAATTATTGGAAACATTCATTTTACAGTGTCTGATTGAATGTTTGTTTTCTTCCCCCAGCGGACCCAAGAGTGAGTGAGCCAATTTCAAGTAAGTGTTTTATATATAAATCTCATCAGCGGTTTTTTCAGAAATGAGATAGCAGAATTTTACAAGGAGGGTAGCTCTGCTGCACCAGTTGGCTGAGTTACAGAATCAAACAGCAGTCACACACAATTTCACTCCTTCCACCCATGCCCCTGCTAAGCAATTCATGCGAGGCTGTTTGTTTACCTGAGCTTCAGGCAATCAATGTGATGTGGAGCTCCCATGGCAGCTGGGATGGCTTCAAACCAATGTACACAAATGAGCCAAGGACAGCCTCATATTTTCTCAACCTTGTCATTAAAGCAAAGAAAGCTCTGCAAAATGAATAAGCTACTCCACACTTTTTAAGTGAGTTAACAGAGCGCAACTTGGAGGATTCTATTTATCTGTCTTTGTGCTTTAGGAAAATGTTCTCCTTCAGAAGGTTTGATCTAGCTCTGCTTTAGGCCACTTACAAGACTCTTCCTGTCCTTGATGGAAGGTGGACTGAGCTTTTGAAGAAGAGCTGAGATCATTCGAGCAAATTGGGCTGCTTTTTGTATTTGTAATAGTCATCACTTTCACTTTGGCAAAAACCTTGGCACCATTTTTCTCCACATAATTAATGGCACTTCATTTTTATATGTGTTTTTGTTAGATCACAGTTTGCTGCAAGTTGATTGCCTTGGCTTGAACACACTGAAGAATGGTCACTGTATAACACACTTCGTAAATGAGAGTATTTCCAATACAAACATTGCCCCCTAACAAGGTCCTAGAATGAACCTGTTCCAAACCTGCACCAGAGGACAGCAGGAGTTCACAGCACCAATTGTATCTGCGTATTTTGGTGCTTCCCTGAAATATTTCTCATGTTCAAAATGCAGGTGTCATGGTACATTCTGCTTCATCAAGGTTTCTAATTCTAGTTATTCAAACCCATTTGTTGTGTGTAATTTTGTATGCAGCACCATACTTCAGCCTCTTTTTTCCTCTCCTGCAGTGGGGAAAGATGCTATCTGGACTGAAATCCCATTCAATTCAGACACATACTCAGAATGCAAAGGCAAACAATATGTAAAGAGGACTTGGTATAAGAAGTTTGTAGGTGTGCAGCTGTGCAATTCTTTGAGATACAAGATATACCTCAGTGATTCACTTACAGGTAAGAAACATTCAAATCAGTGCTGTCCATATTATACATTCCTGAAAGATATTATTCCGAAATAAGAGGTTTAACAAGATGAGCTCTGCTGAAGTGTGATCAGATTTGTTTAATTTAGTCCACAGATTAGTCATTATCAGTAATCTGCTTGTGCTCATTAACCATTAATATGTTTGATACTGAGTTTTCAGACTCCAGAGGTACCTCTCTGTGGTGATCATCTGATTTTAAGTATCTGTTCATATACTGGGGATCATACAGAAAACAAAGATCAGAGTGAATAGCATATATTGTAAAACAGTCAAACTGGTGTTTAATTATTAATTAGAGAATAATTATTAATTAGAATTATTAATTAGAGGATCAGGACCTCATTTTATACCAGGATTACACCTGTCATTCCCACTCCTTTCAGTAAACATCTGCTTACTTCTTTACTGGGAGGCTTATAAAGACATGAATTTAGTCAATAGGTTTTACTCACCTGCTTTGAAATTTTTGTTTTGTTTTCACATTCTCCATTTTTGCTTATGATCTTTTTTCTCCACCTTTTTGTATTCCTCATGTTATATTTTATTACTAAGGGAAACTTCTTGGCCTTACATTCTCAAGGCTTTTTTCATCTTTTAAGGCCAGCTGAGTGTGATGTGTTTAAGACCTGAATGAGGTGAGACATGCTGAGGAATCAGCCTGTGAGAAGTGTTTTTCAGTTAGTTGATAGGAGATCTTTGTGTCTCATGCAGCTTGTCCAAGCTGTATCTGCTACACTAAGAAATATGTTAACTTCTTATAATGCACCCCAAGCTGCTGGCTCTCTTCTGTGTGAAGCCTTTTATCAGACAGCTCTGTGACAATAGCATGGCATCTGAGCACAAAGATGTGTGGGAAATGCCTTTTGAGTGCAAGTTTGGCAAGTTTGTTCAACACATTGCATTGAATTAGCTAGGGCGAGACTGTGTCTGGAAGAATCCACTTTCATGACCTGAAGTTGCCCCATCTCTAAGCTGGGCACCTCACAGGAGCAGGGCTCTGGGCTTCATGGAAAGAATATGGAAGGAAAAGAGCAAGGGACTGTAGGGCAGCCCACGTTGCCATAATTTTAAGCTTCCCTGCCTTGCATCCGGCACTGTTCTCTGATGAGCAGAATAGGAAGGAAAGCCTTGTCATTAATAGTCAAGTACAATATTCTGTATGTAAAAAATATCTTAGATATTATGTGAATAAAGGAGAATGTTTTGAACAGATGTATCATTCATTCAACTGTTGCTGTACTAACCAGCTGTGATCAAATGACAAGCACTGGCAATGAGACATGATGTGTCCCAAAACCAGCCAGCAGAGGAAATAGCAGTGCTAATCTAGCAGGACTAGACTTCAGCCCTAAATCAAGTGAATTAACACTGCAGTGAAAGCAACTCCAATCTGAAAAGTTTAATATCAGGAGCCCATTTTCCTATTTTCATTAGATTGTTTTTGTTCTTGCTGGAAGGGTGGTGGTTTAACCTCGCTGGAAAAAAATGAGGTAGACACACTGTATTCATTATACTTGCTAAGCCTGCTTCTTGCACTTGAATTGTTACAACCAGCGCTGACCAGTTGCCACAATATTTAGAAGAAGTGAAATATTTATGTAGAAGGAAAGCTGCTTTTGCCCCGTTTGCTAAGTGAGGCCTCTGTGTGTGAGTGAGAAGTTTGCCCGTCTGAAGCCAAGCTCTGTTCTGATGTGTCTCACGGTCACCTCGCCTCGCCGTGCCCCCGAGGCCAGCGGAAGTGTCCCTGCAAGCACCAGCCAGCTGGAGCGCGTGTGCCGGCTGTGCAGGGCTGCACTGAGCTCTGAACTCCACTGGACACTGAAAAATCTTCCAAAGCTTTGCTGCTGAAGCAGTGCAATTGCCTGGAAACTTGGGTGCTCTGTCCAAATGCCATTGTATAAGGCAGGCAGCAACTGTACCTTTGCATGCTGTTTTTCAGCATGAATTTATTCTTCTAATGCTGTGGAATTTATAATGTATAAAACAAAGTTGGTATGTAAGATTGTAAGGCCACCCACAAGGAAACACTGGGGAAAAAAATTAACTTTGTGCTAGAATTGCTATCCTCAAAGCAGAAAATCAGTTAGCTGAATGGTTTTAAGTGTGTTCTTTTATTATAGAAATAATTGGGCAGTAAGAATGCCCAAGTAAGTAAAATATTCACTGAGAATGCTGCTAAATTATGAAGACCAATTATTTGAGTTATGCATAGGTTAAGCTGTGGGCCAGAAGAATATGTGTGGATCTGCAAGTTACTGTTCTGGTGTTAGCCATTAAAATATCTGGCTTATTCTCTCTCTTATGGAGAAAAACTGATCTCCGTTACACATGCCAGGACTGTTCCATAAACCAGCATCTACTGCTGACCTCATTTAACAGTCCTCCAGAGCAGTCACTGTAGGCATTCCAGAAAAGCAGGCCACCTAAAAATAAGTATTTATTGAGGGAAGGAAAAAAATAAATTCTATGTGTGACCTTCAACAGCTGTGGAAAAAAAAAAAAAAAAAAGGTTTTTTTGGGCAGCCTGAATGTTCTTAATTTCAGAGCAAAAATTTGCTGAGAGGAACTCCCTCTGACCAGTTCTCCTATGGAAAAAAACATGTTTGCAGCCAAAGTTAGATAGCAATAAATAATTTTGTAAAGCTAGAGAAGAACCACATGCACAAAGGCCATCAACAGGAGGTGAGAAATTTTGGCAAAGTACTGCTCAGATCACAAAAACGTGGAGTTTATTGGTAGGCTGTTTTTTTTATTAATTGTTCTTTGGGAGCAGTATAACCCACCCCACCACCTCTCAAATGGCCAGACTGGCATGGATTCAAGGCTCCGGGACACCCAGTATCTAATGAGTAACTGGACTTTCTGCCTAGCTTATACCTCCGTCCTGAGCATTTCTCTAAATACTCTCGCCTTTCCTTTCAACATCTCAACCAAAGGTTGAACATATTGAGAACTACGTGCTGTGAAAGGAGATTAGAAAGAATGCTAAGTTTATCTACAAAGGTTTCCATCCCAGGTTTGGGAAGAGAACATAGCATGCTCTCCTCATCTTCTGAATTGAATTTTACTAATGTCTTGCAAATCAAATCAGCAAGTAAAAAAATCTGGTTTTTTAAGCTCCTTCACTGTGTCTGTTAACAGGATAAGCACAGTCTGTAACATCAGCACATGCTACATGGGACACTTGAGACCTTGATTTCTACTCAGTTACAGTCAAGTGTCCTGTTAAGCAATCCTGCAAGCAAACACATGGGCACACTCCATGCTCTGGATAAGTACTTAGTATCCGAGGTCATCTATATGTTAAGGGCTATCACTTGCACATACATGTTGTAAAAATATGATGATTTATAAAACAGGCCTTGGCTATGTTAGGAGGTGGTCTGTAAAAACATCTCTGAAGGTACTGGGGGCTTCCTGACAGGGAACCAGACCTGCCTTCCATTCAAATCACTACCAAAACTTGCTTTTTGATGACGTTCTTGGTAGTAACAGAATTTCTCTTACTGTATGAAATGTAAGGAGAGGGAAAAATTATATCCAGGCATAGATTTTGGCCAGGAGTGGGGCCTTAGCCTTGAGCACTTGGAGCCTGCATGTCATGTTCAAATTACACCTACAGGTCCTGAGAGGAAAACAATCATAGCATTCACCTTAGCTTCCCCACAGAGGAAAGAGCACAGCCCTTGCCTCCGGTGGTTTTTGGAAATAGCCTTCACTAACTCTGCTGCTTCTTTGCTTTCAGGAAAATTTTATAACATAGGAGACCAGAGGGGCCATGGAGAAGATCACTGCCAATTTGTAGACTCATTCTTAGATGGAAGGACAGGACAGCAAGAAGATCTGCCAGTAAAAGATGGTAATTCCCAACACCTTATCAGTAGCAAACCTGGGCAACTCCTTTGTTTGTTTCTATTTCCTACCAGTGGATTGAATGCCCACTGCTGGGGTGGGCGATGAAAGGAGCTGCCAGCTTTGCAGGCAGAAGAGGGTCAAGGAGTTCTTTGACAGTGAATGATGACTTATTAAGACAGTTATGAGTTGGGTTCTGTTAGGTAGCGAACAGCCTCTCTCCTGTTTAAAACAGCCCAACAAATTATTCACAGTTGGTATTACATATTTAAACCCAACCACAAATGTGAGTTTGCAGAGAGGCATTAAGTGGTGTGTTCAAACTAGCAAGGTTGATTTAAAGCACAGTACATAATCAGTTGGGTATTAAATACCTTGTTTGGTACTAATGAGAAACTGAAAATTTATGGCCGGAAAATATAATTCATGCTGCAGTAATTCTGTGTGTACTGACTGCAAAAGGGTGCCCAAAATTCCAGTCTGGTCTAAGTGGACATGGGACTGGATGTGCTAAACACAGCCATGACCTGCCTGGCTATTTTTCTTCCATTGCTGAGGCTGAGGTATAAGAAATTTGTATTTCTGTCAGCTGAACTCCTGCCTTGCTGTTGGCAGCAGTGCCAGGGTGTGGTGTTCTGTTCCTTGTGGGGTAAGAATTCAGGCTGTACTGGTACGTGCACAAGTGCTGAGCATGTCATGGAACATTTTACTGAGGAAAACAGCAAAACAGTTTTCAGTACAATATCAGCGTGTTTACCAAACCTTCCTCTGCTTAATTTACAAAACACCCCACATGAGTCCAGATACGCATTGAGGTAGTTGTGGGAGATGAATGTGAAGCTCCTAAGTCTTTCACAAGTTTTTCCAAGAAACAAAGTAATTGAATGGTCTGAAGGGTGTTTGTTTATGTGTTTTATGGGTTTCTTCTAAAGAGGTTTTTGCTTTTCCCTTCCCAGTCAGTGCTGCCCATCTGAAAAGATATTTTGTATAAGAGATGGTCAGAATCCAATTTCCATTGCCAGGACAGCAAACTTCTCAGTTGTACCAGATTCACACTTTTAAAAATATTTTAATATTTAAAAAAACTTTTACCTAACAACCTTGCTACCTCAGTTTAAAAGACACTTATAACCAATTTGATTTCGGCAACTGGATTTGAGTGAATTCATAAGCTACGATCATTTTTAGGCCAAAATAAACAACAAAACAAGCAAACAAAAGACTTCACCTTTTCAGTAGCTTGTATTTCTAGCAAATGAACTGAACAGACCAAGAGACCAATTGTTCTAGTTGCAGCAGATTGATTTCTGAATTAACTTCACGTATTTGACATGAAGTGCTGTGAGAGAATCAGAGTGAAAAAAACCACAGGCTCGGGACATGTTGTAGGATAATGCATAGGGAAGCTGGCTCCCTATTCCTGAGGCATGGTATTTTAAAAGATACAGTGTGTATATTTGACCTGAAGTGCTGTGAGACAATCATGGCTGATGCTGTCTTTCAGCTGCAGAACAGTATTTTTTTTGTGTGTGTGGCTCCAGCCACACATATATTCCTTATGGTCAGGTTGGATGGAGCCCCAATTCCCCACTTTAATTTTTTACCTAATGTTAATTGTTTGAATGGGAAGCAAGTGTGTTGTCAAAAGCAACAGAGTAAAAGCAGGAGGATGACTTGGATGGGGGGATGCTGTGAACTTTTCCCAGTGGCTGGGTTTTATTGAAGTTCACTGCAGTGTCAAGGCTGCACAGTGGGGACTATTTGCCACTGTCACTTTGCAACGCAGAGCACCCTCCTGTTCCGAGAGCCCAGCACAGCCAGAGGGGGGACAGAGGGGGCACAGGCTGTGCCCAGCCAGCCCCACCCACGGCAGGGTGCTGGCATCTCCAGGGGAGGCACGCTTCACCTCTGTACTGCCATCCCAAGTACTTTTGCTTTGAGTTGGGTGGGCAAATTGCAGAGTGCTAGTGGACGTAGGGGCAGCAAACAGCTCTGCTTCTGGCAGGTGGGTTAACAGCTTGGTGACCATTTCAGCCACTCACTGAATTGTTAGTTACAGACTTCTCAAGGAACCAAAGCATGGTAGTCCTGAGAGCTTCGTGCAAACAAAACTCTCTTCTCTGTTCCAGGGTTTTTCAGGGCAGTTCGTCAGGAACCTGTCAAATTTGGGAAAATAGGCGGGGAGACTCAGATTAACTACGTGCGCTGGTACGAGTGTGGCACATCGATACCTGGCAAGTGGTAGATGCCACAGGAAGAGGGTGCAGAGGCCCAGCTGCCCAGCGCAGGCTGCAGGAAGGCAACACTTACGGTGTGCCCGGCACTGCGGTGTTGGCCGACGTGCGAGGCTTACACCAGTCTAATGCCAATACTGCATTAATTGTGTAATAGTGTAGGCTGCTTACTGTAGTTATCCAGTGTTAAAAATTTGTTTTTAAAATAACACAGGCTAGGGACATGTTGTAGGATAATGCATAGGGAAGCTGGCTCCCTATTCTTGAGGTATGGTTTATATGGTATTTTAAAAGATACAGTGTGTATATTATTTATCACGATGTTGTAATAAATGTTTAAGGCACAAATATGCCAGAGATGGTCATGGAATGCAATGTGTGTTAAATATTCACTGGTTCTGTAATGCAAGTGCCATAAGCTACCCATCCTAATCCATCTGTAACATCTCTCAGTCATAAATTATAGAAAAGATCCTATAATTTTTAATATCCTGCAGCCAGTAAACTTGAAGCACTTTCTCCTTACACGTACAAACAGTTTATGCTCCTGCCAAAATGCTGAGGTAGGTTGCTGTATGTGCAGCTTTAAATGATCAAGTTCAGTGGAGTTTTCTTCCATGTTTGTTTTCAAATGTTTCAGCCCCAGCCAAAGCCATGTTCAGCCTGTCACTATGGAGTCAGAACCTGGCAGTGGCTGGCAGGGAGGGTTGGTGTTCTCTAATTGAAGTGGACAGGTACATATGTACATGGAATGAAAAAACAAAGCTGGCCTCCACAGCTGGGGTTTTTCAGGAAAATGTAGTTTTGAGCCTGACACTTACTGGTTCAAAAGCCAAATGTATGTACCGTGCAAGGGGACTTGGAAAGACAAATGGAAGAGGAAAAAGAATAAACTAGTTATAACAGCATGATCAGGTTTATTTTATTTAAAAAGAAAAATTCTGGTTTAAAACAGTTTTCATTGGGGACAAAGGGGAAATACTGATAACTGAACTTTAAAACTGCTTTATAGTTATTTTGATTAAAACCTCTCCCAAAGCTACTTGTTGTACTGCTTGAACATTTATTAACTAAATAAAGAGATGTAGGTTTTTTTAAAGGTGTTATTCATTACCTTACTAATGTATTGAAGAAATATGAACAGGAACTACCAGATCTACATAGTAGTCATTTATAGAAAATACCTTATAAAGTACATTGCAGGTACACTGTACTCCTAATAAAATATTTTTTAATCAAGTGGTTTTTTTCAAGTGTTTTACATGGAAACAAGGCTTAAATGCTGCAGTAAATGTTGTTATTCAGAACAAACTGCTTGCTGGAACCAAGCCCCTGTTAAATGGTCTGATGAACATGGGATGTGTTAGGTCCAAGAGCAGAAATGGGAGGAGGTACAGCCACAGCTTACTGAGTATAGCTGTGGGCCCAGCACTATTTAAGGATGCTGAAGGTAGGAATATTTTCACTCAACTTCCTAATTTGTCTTTAGGAGAGCTCAAGCAGCTTGCTCCAGCTCATTTTTTTTTATTCCCCGCTTAGTTTTACATATTCCTAGAATCTGCAAAATGGAAAATATTAACTGGGAGAATGTTTTGCCCTCTGCTGTAATGTGGTCTATTGACTTCATTACAGCTCTTGCTCTGCTTTTTCTTGGCTCAAAATTGAGTTACTAGGACTGCACTCCCAAGTTCTTCTGGGCAGCAAAGAACCTGTGGAAAGTTGGGGTTTTTTTAAGAGCCCTTTTTAAAGTTACCCAGTTGGTTTAAATTTTCAAGTAATAAATTAATTCTCTCCCACAACTTGTTAAAGCAAAATTGATAAGAGGCTTTAAAATCTTAGGGATTGGTTTCTAACCATTTGGTAAAAGAGTCACTTGATAATTAATGACAGCAGACAGCACAAAACCACTCGCTGCTGTGAAACCTCTGTGAAAGCCATCTGCAGTCCCAGCACCTCTCCATTTACACACCCAGAAATCTGCCTCACCCCCTACAGACCCCAGCACTGCTGCTCTTCACCACAAAGTCTTTGCACCCAGCATGTACACTGGTCTTAGCACAGTTGTCTTGTTCAGTATTACTTAACTTCTAAAATCAAGATCAGGCATTGAATAGATTCAGGGTTTTTATTAGTTTTTCCATGTCAACATTACAATTTATAATACATCATATCTAGTTTGACCTCCAGAATGAATCTAATTTAGTACATCATGGTATTAGTAAAAAAAAGCCTGATAAGTGGGCTAAACTTCCAACTAGTATCTTCATATCCTTCAGTCAAGGCAAGCTAGAATGTCAATCACTTTACAGACATTTAAGTAGTGTTTTCCAAAAACCACCCAGCCCCAAATTAAACTAGGAAGCGAATACAATTTAAAGCAGGAAAGATTTGGTAATTTCCCTCCCCCCAGCAGAATTTAATTAACAGCTATAGTTTTGCCTCATTACGATTTTGGAATCTCAATTAAAAATTCTGGAGTTTGTCGGGATGGAATCGCACGTGTCAGTAGCTGTCTTCGGGGCACCTCCTTAGCGGTAGCCGGGCCCGGGCTGGGTGTAACCCTGCGGCCCGAAAGGGGGACGGCTGCGGGCGTAAGGGTTGGGCCCGCTGGGCGGGGGGGTCATGGTGCTGCCGGGCGGAGGGGTGAAGCCGGGCCGCGGCTGGAAGGTGCCCGGGGCCGCCTGGGAACCGCTGTAGGCCGCGGGCTGGGAGGCCTGCGTGGTGTAGGGCTGCGGGGGGAAGCTGCCCGCCGGGTACTGCGGCGGCTGCTGCGCCGGCAGCTGCTGCGCCTGCCCCGGGAAGGCGGCGGCCGGGGCAGGGGCAGCTGCCTGGCTGTAGGCCGGGAACTGCTGGGCTTGCTGCGACGGGGGCTGCTGCTGGCTGTAGCCTGCTGGAAAGGCAGAGAGCAAGGTGGGGTGAGAGACACTAAGGAGCCCTGGGTGCCTGCAGAAAGACCTTTTGTTCCTAATGTTCACAGTGACAAATGCAAAACGATGCAGGAAGCACAGAAAAGGCAAACCAAGCGTGAACTGCGAGTTTTCCTGCCTTTCACATAAGCGCACGACCGGGGTTTTGGTGCACACTGTGGCAGCACAGCACACTGACAACAGTTACTATAAAACAGTTTTCCTGTGACTGACAAGAAATAAAGAAAAAAAAAAGGCAGGTCGTCTTTTCCTTTATATCACACAAAAAAATAAAGTCTTCGTTGGCAAATGAGGCAAAATTCAATCCTTTTCCCAAATAAAACCTCCAAATTAAACTGCCTTGACAATACTCTCAGGGTTTTATATTTAAAAAAAAATCGTTGGTGAAATCATAGGTGTTTTCAGTTCTTTAGCGTTAAAAACGAAAAGGTTATGTATAACAGAACACTTTAGCACAAAACTTCCATTTACACATGTTCCAAATTTGATTTTCCTGTATAACACTAGCTTCCAAAGGAAATTTCTCTTCTTACAAATTTTAAAATGGAACAAAGTCCTTTCATGAAGAAATAGCTACTTTTATCCATCATGAAACACACCTGCAGCTACTTGCAATGAAACCTCTCCAGTGACTGGAATCCTGTCAGCATTAAACACCAGACACACAAATTATTAAAAGTGCACAGCCCTAAATGGAAAGAGTAAGGGTAAGAATGCACTGCAGTAAACTCACCTTGAAACTGGGATCAAAATTTACTCATGAGGCAAACCTCTGAAGGGTCCATTTTTACACCCATGTATAAATAGCCACTGTTGCCTAGTAGATCTACAAGAGTGGGAAGGTATCCTGCTCTTGGGGAGACATGGGTTTGAAAGGAGACAATACTCATGAGAACTAAAGCAACACAAACAAAAAGATCCTATGACTCAACATCTCCAAAGGCTGTTGTCAAGAGGTCCTCAAAGCAAACTCTGTTTCTGAAGATTAATTGTCAACTAAGTTATAACAAACAGAGGTGCCCAGTAAGTTTCTGGTGGCATTTCATTCATACTTGACAATGATGTTGGAAAGCAAAACTCACATTGCACTACAGTTTTCACAGGAACATCAGTAAAATAATGGATTAGACCATGGTAGGATATGTCTAGAAAGCAGACTGGAATTCCTTTGTTTCCCCACTCAGTTTTTAATCCTAGAGTGTCAGACAGACCCTTCTACTTCCAACAGGATTGCTACTTCTGAAATTACACCTCAATACATCTGTCTCTGTATTCTAATTACAAATGTGGGGGAGAGAAATCTGCAGAGAACAAGATACCATTAGACACTCAAACTAACGAGCTCTCACACAGTGCACAGGAACAAAGTCTGAGACACAAAATGTTTCGTCCAAGTATTCTAAGGTTCTTATCCAATCTAAGCATGGAATTTCTTCGTGAGCTCTGCAAATCTTCTCATCTACATAAAAAGTGATGCACTCCCACTGTGCACCCAGAAAAGGTCACACTGGCTCTGAGTCACTTAATGGGAGTCTTTTGTTTAGTTTGAGGATTTTTTAAAACAAGGAATGATAAATGCTTTGTATAATTTTCTAAATTAAGCAAAATGCAATTTGTTGCAATTGAATTTTTGCAGGTTCACCCCTAAACCTCATCTGGACTATAATTCCTAGCATATACTATGCATTCCTAGATGCCAACTGCTCCTAAAGGAACTGAAAGCTCTGATGTCAAGTTTATTTTGGGTATACACCAAAGCCAGCTTTTTGTATTTCACTGCACATAAACCTCTAGTGCACTAAAATATTCTACTGCTGAAAGTCTATTGGCACCTTTACTTAAGATATCAGCAAAATCAAAAACTAAAAAAGAAAAACTATCACTTAAAAGTTTCTCTGGGATTTACAGTATGTCTGTTAGCCAAGGATTTACTGAATGACAACTACAGTGTTTGCACCAGTAAATTCTGGACACAGAGATCATTCTAGACGCAAGAAATAGGGGCCATCTTTAGACACCTTTGATATTTAAGGAAGCCAAATTGGGATGTTTAGTCACTTACTTGCTAGAATTCTATGACTTCAGAATATAATCCTGAAGGCTGCTCACCCTTCAGGTGATTCATTTTGCCTGCCTTTTTAACAAGGCATTCTGCTGATTAGTAACGAGCTCTGCCTTTGCTCATGATCAAGTAGGCCTGAACTTTGACTACATATTAACAACAAAAACAGCTACAGCACTCCCTTCCTGGCAATTTCTGAATTGTGCCAGTTCCCATAAGTAACACAGGCATCTGGGCAGCTCGCACCCTGACCTGCCTCACAGGGTCAGGAACTGAAGCTTGAGGGTCGGGCACTGCAGGAGAGGTCCCGCAGCTGAGCTGCTGTTGCAGAGCTGCTTACCTGGGTACTGCACGCCGTACTGCTGCTGGGGCTGAGCCTGCGGCTGCTGAGCAGGGTAACCAGGCTGCTGGTACTGCTGATACATCTGACCTAGGGATTAAAAACGCATTTCATTGAAGCCCAGTACCCTGGTGCATTACAGTGAACGATACCCTGACAGTTCAACATCACAGAAACAAACCCAGTGACATCAAAGTACAGATTTTAGTTTCTGAAACACGCTGTTCTGACTAAATAAAGTTTATCTAGAGTTATGTGAGGCTTACTATTGCACATCTTCAGAGGCTGCCAGAATCTATGCACCTTAGTTAGCACTACTCTGGTGGGTAACAGACCAGGAATCTTTAAACATCTTCATAACTGCTCGAGAACTTACACTGTAAATTAAAGTACTTCTAAAGTTAAACATGTCCTCAGATTGTCTGTTTAGATTAGCTTTTTAAGACCATTGTACTGTAAGCAAGTGGTACATTATTTATCCTGACCACAATTTCCAGATAAGACATCCATCTCCTACACTGCTAAGTTTTCTTAAGAGACCCAGCAGTATACACCCAAAGCAAAAATAAAACCATATATTCTTAAGCTTGGTAGTCCAAGTCAATGCTTATTTTTCCTACATTCACTGTTTTCAATTTCTTGGCCAGAAGAGGCAGAATATTTGTTTACACAACCTATGGGTGCTGTTGAGGCTTTATGCTTCTGCTGTTTTTCAGTCTAGAAAGTCACAGTCAAAGAACAAAATCAATTATCTGCCAAAACTAAAGCTTAGCTGAACTGAAGCAGACATGGAAACTTTACTATTATGAAGTGTTACTGTACTATTATTCATTCTGCAAAGATCAGCAGACTGTATAAATAGACTGTAAACTCTATGTTCGGAGCTGCACAGAGACAAAAGCAACTCAAC